CTTCCCCAGGTTAGGGAAGTTTTCAGCTGTTGTTTCTTCAAATGAGTCTTCTCTCTCCTATTTCTGTGACCCCTTTAATGCAAATGTTGGTCCATTTGATGTTGTCCCGTAAGTCCTTTAAGCTATCTTCACTTTTTTTCATTTTTCTTTTTGTTTCTCTGATTAGGTGAAGTCCACTGCCCACTTGTCCTTTCTTCTGCTTCGTCTAGTTTACTGTTGAACCCCAGTAGTGTACTTTTCAGTTTGATCATTGTTTCTTCAGCTCTGTGACTTTTTTTTTAATTGGAGTATAGTTGATTTACTATGTTGTGTTAGTTCCTTCTGTACAGCAAAGTGAATCAGTTATACACATACACATATCCACTCTTTTTTAGATTTCCTTCCCATTTAGGTCACCACAGAGCATTGAGTAAAGTTCTCTGTGCTATACAGTAGGTTCTCATTAGTTATCTGTTTTCTATATAGTAGCGTCTGTATGTCAATCCCAGTCTCCCAGTTCATCCCACCCCCCCAACCACCAGCTCTGTGACTTCTATTTGATACTTTCTTATACCTTCTATCTCTGTCAAAGATTTCACTGTGTTCATCCATTCCCTTCCTGAGCTTGGTAAGCATCTTTATGATCTTTGTTTTGAGCCCTTTATGAGGTAAATTACTTATCTGCATTACATTAATTCTTTTTCCGAGATTTTATCTTATTTCATTTGGAACATATTCCTCTATTTCTTCATTTTCCTTGACTCTCTGTGTTGGTGTCTATGTGGAGGTGAAACAGCCACCTCTTAATCTTGAGGGGGTGGCCTCATGTAGGAGAACCTTGTCATCCAGCCCTACCCTAGCTCTTGCTTGTCTCTCATACCTTTGTGATTGTCCAGGCTGCCCATTTTAATTTTAGAGGCTCTCAGTTGTTGAGCGTGTGCAAGACCTGTCAGTATCCCATAGAGGAGGGTCTCAGTTAGCAGGCTTATTGGAAGCTAGACTCTCAGGTATCAGCATATACAAATATATACAGTACTGAAGGACTGCAAGCATAAGCCCTGCTGGCTGCAAAAGCTGGATACCCTAAACGTGTCCCCGTGGGTATCAGTCACAAAAATTGGGGCTCCAGACAACTGTACAAACTCCTTTCTGAGAGATACTGGTGGGCAGATGGAGAGCACAAAAATGGTGTTCTCTGGCTTTTGTCCAAGGAGAGCATCTCAGTAGGTCCCTACATCCAACCAGAAGCCTGCCCCTCAGGCCAAAGCTCCAGGACAAGCAAATATTCCTTTATCACAGAAAGACTGGGGTTTGTTTCAGTCTGCTGTCTCACTGTGCCCTGGGGGTGGTAGCAGGCCAAGAACTGTCTCCCCATTTATAACAACGCCATGGGATCCAGGAACACAAGCCCTGCTGGCTCCCAGAGGCAGGTGATTAAGGGGCATCCCCTAGGTGGCAGCCACAAAAACTGAGGCACCAGATGTAAAACCTGGGACCAGACACATGTATGAGCTCCTCCCTGGGAGACAGTAGTGCTCTGATGGCTGTAGGGTGAAAGCGCAAAGAGAGTGCTCATGCTCTGAGGCTGCTGGAGAGCATTACAGTAGACACTTAGATGTGTGCTTCCTTGGAAATCTTAGGCCACAGTTATGAAGGTAAGTTAGTGGGCCTCTCATAGTAAGACTCCTCTGACTGTTGCCTCTTGCTGTTCCCTGGAGATGGTAGCCGGTTAAGAACTCTTTTGCTGTTGGTTACAGTCCTGCTGGACCCATGAGCATAAGCCCCACTGGCCGCCAGAGCCAGGCAATCAGGGGTGTCCCCTAAGTTGTAGTCACAAAAACCAGGGTACCAGACATAAAAAGATACCGGATGCATGTAAAAGCTCCCCTCTGGAGATACTGGTGCTCTACATTGCAGCACAGGGAGGGCATAAAGATGGTGCTGACTGGGGGGAAAAAAAGAATGTAGATTAAAATACTAAAAAGATGGTGCCCTGCCGGCAGGAGTGAGACAAAGATGGCATCCACCAGCCTTTGTCCTTGGAGGGTACCCCAGCAGGCATGCGTGTTAAATCTGACCCCTGCCCCTCGGACCAACACTCTAAGGTAAGCAATAAAGCCTTTACATAAAGTCTGGGTGCATTTCAGTTGGCTCCTTCTGTGCTGGGCCCTGGTGCAGGTGGGTCTGAGAGTATGAGCCTTTTTTTTTTTTTTAATATTTTTTTATTTTTTTTTTGGCTGAGTTGGGTCATTGTTGCCATGTGCGGGCTCTGTCTAGTTGTGGCGAGCGGAGGCTACTCTTTGTTGCGGTGTGCGGGCTTCTCATTGCGGTGCCTTCTCTTTGTTGTGGAGCACAGGCTCTAGGCGCGAGGGCTGCAGTAGTTGTGGCTCGCAGGCTCAGTAGTTGTGGCACATGGGCTTAGTTGCTCTGCGGCATGTGGGATCTTCCCGGACCAGGGCTTGAACCCGTGTCCCCTGCATTGGCAGGCAGATTCTTAGCCACTGTGCCACCAGGGAAGTCCCATGCACCAGAAGTTTTATTACAGCTATAACTTAGAAGCAGATTCTGACAAGACTTTTAGAAGCTGTCTTAAAATTTTCCTAAGCTTCATTCACATCACATGAAGGCAGCAACTGTTAAAACATATTTAGATTCCATTAGGGTACATTTTGCTGTCACATTGGAGTCTCTTAAGAACCATTTTATCCCCATCAGATGCCTTTACTGAAGTTTCTGGTACTGAACATCAGTAAGAACCTTTAGGTGGTGCTCTTTGGTTAAAAACATTTATTCCTCAACCAATTTAAATACAGTAGTATATCCTAAGGAAAAAATGGACCTTAATTTTTTTTAAGGGACCATCTCCCAGCTCTGCTCAGGTTTTCTGATACCATTTCTATTGCAGAGGCTAATAATCTGTCCTGTCTCCTCCCACCCGTTTCTAACGGGTTGCCCTGATGTAGATATGAAATTCCGCTCTGGAAGCAGGCTGTCCGTTTTAAAATAGCAAAGAGCGGGGTCTTGATTTCCTACCTTACAGAACACGCCTAGACTGATACTCTCTCATCACCTGCTACTAATTATGCCTCCCAGAAAAGTCCCCCATCTCTGTCCTCCTGCAAAGAACCTCCTCGTCTGTCACATTTCCCTAATGGGGTCACAGCTTTCCTTACTGTCCAGGAACTGACTACCTGTCCTGCAGCTAGCTCATCAGACTCGGCCCTCCTCCAGCCTCAGGCATCCCTCCTTGTCCTTACCTGCTCTCCTGCCCTTCAATATCCTAATTCCCCTTTGCTCATTTTTCTGCTCACTTCCCAGCCCCTACTTTTGGTCAGGGCTTACCTTTGCTTTTAATCTGGCTCCAAAGAGTTGAGGTCACTTGGAAAAACTGTTCCCTGATATCCTAAGATGCACCCTCCCGGGATACAGTTGGTCTTGCCAACTACAAATCCATACCCTCTACCTCTGTAGTCTGATCCTTTTCTCAGCCACTTTGACCCTAACACTTAGTACCCTGCCAGTAACTTACTTCTTACCACCTGTGTTCCTTTAAAAACCAGGCAGGCCTAGATTCTTCCATCATCTGCCCCAGTCTAAGATAAAACACCCAACTTAAAAGTATTTTAGAAGATTGTACTTCCAAAGATTTTACTAAAGCATTTATTTTTTAAACAAAAATATACATTAATCTCAGATTTACAGAATATAGAAATAATTTATCCAAAGCAATTTGCATTTTAAAATTGTTAATATTGCACCCAACCATGTAAGTCTTTGACACATTTGCATTGTCGACCTTTCCCACAATTTGCAAAACGGGAGAGAAATCTGAAACTGACAGAATTACACAAAAAAACTTACAATTTTTAAATTTACAAGATAAAGAAAAGTTGTAAACTTCCGGAAATTTACTTCCGTAGACTAAAGAGCTATATTCTTTTCATATCTAGACAATGAATATATACATGCTGTGATTTCCTCATAAGGAATTCAAAGGAACAGATATTGTGAACATTCACAACCTAATGGTAAAGAACAGAATTATTGAAGACACTTTTCTGTCTTCACTGGAAACTAGTGTGTGAAACACAGAGTGAGAAAAGCCCCTGGATAAATAACTTTTACCTCTTTGAGGATAGTTTCCATAATTGCCTAAAGTTATGTTCAGTTTTAAAATGATACACTGTTAGTCTTAGAAATATGGCTACCAACAGCCTTTTCTCTCAAGACATAAAGAGTGAGGTCTCTGTTCAAGTCCCTTATAAAATACTTTACATATAGGCAGGCACAAAAGTTTGCTTTTCAAAAGAAAGCTTTGCAAAATATTCTGCAATTTATCACTGATACCCTCAGTTTTTAAAAGCTTTTTTTTAAAAAGCCCATAAATATTTATCTGTTTTTAATGACAGTAGAAAATAAATGCACTTGGTACTACAGGAAGTGTCTTACTATTATATATTCTTTCAGAGTAAACGTATGTAATGTGCTCTTTTAACCTGGTAGTAAACCGAAACAGATCAAAACCTTGTACTTATGAAATGTGAAGTAATTTTTGTTGATTGAGCTGAAATTAGTAAACCAATATGAGACCATGAAACCAAGCAGCCCCATTATCAACTCTGAAAAAGTCATCAGACAGTCATCAGACCACTTAGCTTCTAGGGAATGAACATTCGTGAATCTTTCGTCACTACCATTGTAAATAAAAGATCTTTGTTAGTAAGGTGGACTCCAGGAAAAAAGGAGCGTCTGAGAAATTTGTGCTGAAGATCCCAGACAGGAAAATCTAATTGTAATTTTACAGTACAATACCATTTGAACTGAAATAAGACGTTTTCTAATTCTCTTGTCCTAGATTGAGATGGGGTTAAAAATGTTCACTTTGAATCAAAACAAAACATCAACACGACTTTTCAAAAGGTCTCCTTGGCTTTGCTATTGCAGTAGTCCAACCCAAGTATTGTAGCTTGTTAAAAAGGTTATTGCCTTCAACATCCTTGTGACAAATTTTTTTTTTTTTTCAAAAAGTCGAGTCTCTCATAAAAAAAGAAGACATTTTACTTTGTGTGATTGTTTTGCTACAGGTCACCTGAAGCAAATGCCTCAGCTCTCCACGGTTCGCCTGTATTCTGCCGTCCCATCGGCGATGACTGCATCCAGGGGATAGCGCTTCTTGCGGATGCTGCGCCCGGAAGAGATGAGGTCGGCATAGCCACGCTGGTGGGAGAAAGCGTAGGCCGAGCGCCGTGCAGACACGCCCCGGCGGAACACATTCTGCCGCCGCTTCCACTGCTCTTCGGCTTTTAACCGCTTTCGGTGCTTCTGAATCTACGAAGGCAGGAGAGATGGGGTAAGGTTAAAAAGAACTGGCTGCACGCAACCTGCCTCATTTGGGGGCGGGCATAACCATACTCGCTTTAAAGTGGAGGAAATGGAGGGAGGCAGGTTACATGACGTTTCCAAGCTCTCAGAGCTAGAAAATGGGGTGCCAGGATTCCCACTCCTAAACTAGTGCGCTCTTTCCATTTCATAGAGGTACAGGTTTAGAAAAGACTGTTGGCCTCCTTCTGGGTTGCTACTGCACACCCTTGTCAGTGGAGGAGGGAAAGCTGGAGGATAGTGAAGGCTACCTACCTAGCAGCTGTTCTCTCCTCCTCCTCCTTTCTGATGGAAATGAGTTTACTCAGGTACCATCCTCCTGCTTACAGCCACATTCCTCCATGTGGACGCCACCCCCAGGGGTAGGACTGATCGACTTGACTTGCCCTCTACTAGTCCAGGAATGGGCATGCGATCTAATTCCGGCTAATGAGGCCTGAGAAAAGTGTGCTGGGCCCTTCCATAAAAAGTTCCCAGGCAAAACAAAAAAAGGTTGCCAGCCTCCTAAGGGAAAGCAACAGCATAATCAGTCTTTAATCTTCCCCTGGATATTGACATGTCAGGACGCAGTGCCGGGAACTCCTGTAGCCATCTTTCAGCAGAGGGGGGAGATGGAAAAAACCCCAGTTCTTTTTTGATAACATTAAGTTGCCCATCAGCTGAGCCTGAAACCTAATTATGATGTGAGTGGAGGTGATACATCATCATTGAACCATTTTGAGCCATATCTCCCTGTTACTTGTAGCTCAAAGGATCCTGCTACAAGATTTTTCATTTTCCCTTAAATGAAGAAAAACCCCAACCTGTATGCAGGGCAAAATATTAATAGTATAATTGCTAAATTGAGAGGATAGATATATGGGGGTTCATTATACTATTTTCCTTTTGATATTTCCTAATTTTTGTAATAAAAAAAAGAGTAGTCCTAAAAAATTTTCAGACCAAACTTCCCAAGAGCTTAGAATTTTGCAGGAAAGCTGCTTTGGAGAAATGCTTTGATTTCTGTGAGAGGCACTCAGAGTTAGGAGAAGACTTTTTTTTTCTATACCTTATCACTTTCTGATGGCCAGATGGTCATTGACAAGAATCGTGTGGCAACAACAGGCAGCAAGCACACAGCAACAGTCAAGATGATGGTCAACCAAATATATGGCTGTCTCAGAGCATTTGAAGCTGTGCCTGGAAAAAGCACAGAGAATGAATCACAATGGTTTTCATCCCAAGGGGGGCATAGCTAATATTCCACAGTCCACAAGTGGATTCTCTGTGGTGAGCTTTTACAACCAGATTGCCCTCCCAAAAACATCCCACCACTGCTCAAGGAATGAACATTTTAAAACCAGACTAAGCAAAGCAGAATTAGGCACGTAAATTCTTTGGAACAAGGCAAGTGTATATAAGTGAACATATAAATAGAAAGTACATTTGTTGACATTGCATTAATTAAAAATGGAAAAGTAGGCAGTTTATACTTGTGGATTTTTTCAGGAACTTAAAACACTTCCAATTTATAGTTTTGGTTTGAAACGCCATGTATTAACAATGGGCACTGCCATTTGTGGGATAAGCCTTATGCTGGGTGTTTTAGGTCATGCCACTTAATCATTTCTGAGAGCGGAGTATTGCCCTCTATCACATGAAGAAACTGAGTTTGTGGAGAGTAAAAAAATTTGCCCAAGGTAACAACTAGCTATGGCAACTCCTGAATTAAAACCCATGTCCATCTGACTAGAGCTAGGCTTTTACCACTGAATTAGGCTACTAGTTTTTATGTCAGAGGAAGTAACAATTCAATTCTGTAATACAACCAGGTGACCATATACTACTCAATTTTAAAACTAGAACCAAGTTTCTCACAATATTTTCTGTACTTACACTGTGAGTTTATAAAAATAATAGCATAAATGTGTATGGGTTTAAAACACATTCCCTATGAGAATATTCTAAGTAAGTGGGTACTAAAATTTTAAAACACAGAGTCAGTAAGCAAGAACACAGTCATAAAATAAATGAGCTCAATCCCAATAAGAAAAGGGTTACCATAGCAATTGTCTTTTATAACCCAACAACTGATCATTAAAACAAACAAACAAAGAAAAACCTAATCTTTTACAGGGAAATGAGCTTATGGGGAATTTTTTTCCACTGTGAATCCAAACTACTCTATCCATAATAAGATGTTCATAAATTCTAATTCACGCTATTTATAATATTTTTGATATTTATTTCATTCTAGCATTTGTCAATTTGTCATATATTTTATATAGCTGTAAACTGTTTTGTTTTCCATAAGTTTACTTATTGCTCTGTATGTGTATTTCCGATGATGCAGTCCACTTTTAAGTTCTAGAATTCCATCATCTGGGATTCATAGTTTGTTTAGCTAATTTGATATTCTTAGGGAGGGTTATTTCCAATTTTTAAAAGACAATTAGAAATGTTGTAGTGATACAGTCTTTGTACAGATTATCTTTCCAAAATTTGGTGTGTTTCATGTTAGGGTATTTTCCCCATGTGGAAATACTGGATCAAAATGTACACAAAAATTCATTACATATTTCTAGGTAGTGCTTTAGAAAGATTAAACTATAGTGCTACCAGCAATACATGTCTTCCCAGTTTCTCAATAACCTACTAATATTAGGTTTTATGGAAGAAAAAAAAGCACAATTATAGCTTAGTTATTTTAATTTGCTTTCCTCCCATCACGTTACCACCCTTCCAACCCACCACCCCCAATTCTAGTCAGGACGTTAATTTTCACTAGCAGTAATTTACACTTTATGTTTTTACTTACCCTGAAGTTATGTCAGAATCTAAATTAATGACATTTTTCTATTTTATTTATTTTTGGAATTTAGAAAATACCAACCTGTAAATTGAAATGCAGATGGAAAGAGAACATGTATTCCGGCACTATGAAGGTCAAACATGATGCCAAAATAAATTGCAATGCTTCCAAAAATTGAAAAAGCATTCACAAAAGTCCAATAAGAAGTATCCAAGCCAATCTGTTGGGGAAACCAGAGAAAAACAGAGCACTCATTTGGGGAGTTAGCAAGAAATCAAGGATCTAAGGATTCTGAAAATAGAATTCAGCAATTTAAGCATGGTATGGCTTGAATACTGAACAATCAGAAGCTATCTTTGGCTCAGGCAAGAAATAGGAAATATGTTTGGTATAAGGGATGAAAATAGCATCCATTCATATTTGCAAAGCAGCAGAGCCTCAGTTGGAGGAAGAATGGGAGCCAGGCGGATGTGCACGCTGGTCTACATACAGAAATGCATACAGTACCAACAGGTACTGAAAACAGTTGACTAAAGCCACATACCTGGAAATTGACTGTTATTACAAGAGCAGAGGCAATTGTGACAGCAAAAGATTGGTAGTCTGAGGGCGCCTCTCCATCCTGTCCCACAGTTTGCAGATAAGCTCCAAGAGGTATGAAGAAGAGGACCAAAGATGTTAAAACCCCGTGCAACAAGCTTACGAAGAATCTCCTGTAGTTGAATAGTAAGTCTCTTTGTCCCACCATGTATAACCCAGGGAAGCGGAGGCTCAGTTTGTCGCTCACATCCTTAAGGGGAAAACACAATTACAGTTGAGTGCTGTCCATCGGGATCAAAGAACTCGAGATACGTCACAACCTCTATCTTGAAAGGAGTTGCAACTTGTTAAGTTCTAGGAAGGCAAAAACTAAACAAGATGATAAATCCTGAATAATTTCTTTGTGCAGAGAGCAACCTCGTTACTGTAGTCCACCATCATTCGATATTTAATTCTGAGACTGGGTAAAGTATTACTATTTTGCTACTTAAGAAAGCAGATAATGTTTAAAGAAGTGCAGGAAGCCTATTTTTACTTTCTGAGAATACATTTTTTCTAATACTTTGGGAAAGCATTTTACATACACATCAATGAGTTAATTCCAAATTATTCTTGAAAGCAGTTTCTGTAAAAATTGCTACTAGATATAATGCGGACTAATTTGGAAATTAAACCTGTAAGTTTGGGGAGGTATTAAAGTAATTTACTTTAAAGATGTGTAAGTTGTTATTGTAGAGACATACTGTTAGGTATCTAACAAGAAAATCTTAGTGTCCGAAATGAGGGTAATAAACTCTTTTGTCAATGAATTCAACCCAGGCACAGAAATCCTCTCTTCTTACTATAAAACAAGCATAGCAGTTACTCTTGTTGCCTGACAGCAGAAATATAATAGGGTTTACTCAGAAAGAAGTGAAAACCAAAAGAATGCATTGAAATATTTGCTTTGAAACAGTCACTCAGTCTGTCCAGAAGCGACCCTGTCAGCGCCAGGCTCCTACCTGGTCGAGCAGCCCCATGAGGAGGACGGGCAGGCTGGAGTAGATCACATTGTAGAGGGTGATGAACCAGTCTTCATACGCGGTCTGTGAGGAGATGACAGAGTCTGTGTGTCACCGACGAAGAAACGTTGCCCACCTAGTTAATACGTGCGCATCTGCCCTCAAAGCAGGGGTGTCCCCAGGGAAAGTAAACACCCCTCCCCCCGCCAGCTATGCCAGTAGCAGGCAGGAGTTTGTTTTGATCGAATGGACAGAATCAAAGGGCTTTCCACAGGCAATAATCTTCCCCGTAAAATAAGTGGGGAAATAGACTCTGAAAAGTTTTTGGAAAAGGAGTCTGGTCTATTTGAAGAATGCTGGAGAACAAATCAGTGTTCATCGTCTTTTATATCCCTTTTATTAATGAATTAGATTACATACAACTGGTTCAAAAGCACGTAAGTTCCGTTCAAATATACTCTTCTCTTGCCAGTCCAGCATTTCCATTTAAACATTTTATAAACCAGAATTTGGATATAAGAAAGATGCTTTTGAAAAGGATAAGCAAGGCTGTGCACACCCCAGTCCTCAGTGGGGGATAGAGGAAATGGGCTTACTCAGCACCAACAGTGATACACCATCCTGCACAGAAACAGGAAGAAGGCCCCAAACTTGCTCAAAACCCCAAGACATCCTGGCCTCCAGTTTCTACAGCTGGCCTCCTCTCATGCCAGTTGTCTGTAGCGTAGCATCAAAGAAGTTTGGACAACCACAGGCACTGACTTAGGTTTTTTGCTAATGGTGTGTTTCTGCCATATCAACAATTTAACATTGTAGATATGCCCCCACTCCCATTTCAGCAAAATGTTAAAATTTAAAAACCAACAGTGGAGACATGATGTTAGATCTATGATCATCCCCAATTTATATAATCCCTTCAGCCCCGATGTAATTTTATACTTAAATTTGAACAATTTTTTCAAAGTTGAACAATTTGTTATCACTATTCTTAACGGCAAGGTGACTTGGGAAAAAAAAAATCTATGGTGAAGGCAAAGACACACAAACAAAAGTCAACAGACCAGGAACAAATCCTACCTTTTTAAAGGCAAAATAAAATAGGTTTAAAGCACCAGAAACATTTTAGAAGATTCATAAACTTAATCTGTACCTCAACTGTTAAGAGAGAGCACCAAAACTGCAAATATGGAGGGGGAAGAAAATTTCAGACATAGTTTTATTCATGTAAGAGAAGAGCTCTACTCATTTAATAATAATGATGATGGTATATTACCTGTGCAGAGTACCCGTTGAAGAAGGAGTACCAGAAATGAACCAAAGTAAATGAAAAGTTTTTATAAAAGAAGTATCGTAGGAACTTGCACATCCGTATGTAAGACCACCTGCCGTGCACCAACAGCAGTCTCTGCAAGTATCTGAACTGTGCAAAGGAATAGTCACTTGACATGACAGCTTGCATGCCTTCTTGTCCACTTATTCCAACACCAATGTGGGCAGCTGTGGGGGTGGGGAGAAGATAACTGAATCATAAGCTTATTTTAAGGCAAAACATTGAGATGATAAAAATGTTTCCATAGCAATACAAAAAACCCCTCAAATTTATGAAACAATAAATGTGAAAACTGTTGCTCACCATCCCCCACCCCCAGTTTCTGAACTCAGAAGTACCCGTTGCTAGACATAGCACGTGCTTGGGCTTCCGTAAATATTTGTGAAAGGATCTCAAGTGGGTAATGAATTCCATTTGGATTATCTGCCCAGCTCATAAGCCATCCTTCCCACCCAAAGGGTGAGCCCCAGGCATCCATGTGTACCGTGTGTCCCTGCCTCCCTGGCCACAGCTGAGTCAGCCGGGCAGATACATAATCTATGGTAGATACTACGAATTGGCAGATACTACGAATTGGCTCTCCTTCATTGTGGAACTTTTGTTCTAATTGGAGAGGTGGGAAAGCAAATAAAAACCCTACATTGCTTAGACTCCCTTGCAGTTAGGTTCTCTTTGTGAATTAAGTTCCACTTGTTTGGACCTGCTTGTGACTTGGAAGCAGAAGCAAATTGGAGCCCAGCATCCCTTCCCTTTTTGGCATTTCTGCAGCAGAATTCATATCCATTCTCCAGCTGCCCAGATGTTGATAAACAACTGCAAGGGCTTCTCAACTGGAAAGCTCTTCAGAGGCTAGAAGCTCCTCTGGTGAGTGACCCAGACCTGCAGACACAGCCTAGAACCTACTTCTTCAGTTCATCCAGAATTTTCATGAGCACCTGGTCCCCTCTATTAATCACTTCCTGCTTAAAGTACCTAAAGGGATCTGTTTCCCTCGGTCTCTTGGTATTTTGGAGTTAGGATTTGGGTGTGTTTGTGTTTGGAATTTTAACATGTAAATTTTTGAGTTGTGGGATGGATATACTTCTTTCTGAGGGGCAGAGAAATAAAGTAGTCTAGAGAAAGGATGAGAGAGAAGGGCAGACACTGGGTTCCTGGTGCAGCTTCAGGTCCTGGTTCTAGCATATTCCTGAGGCCTGGCTTCTTGAGCAGCATGAGACATATTTGTAACTTTTAAAATAGGTTTCTTTTTGTCTTAAGCTAACTTGAATTGTTCTCCAATACTTGCAACCAAAAGTGTTTAAACTTAGATACTGTTAAACTTTCAAAGGCTTATGCATGGCCCACTGAGACCCCAAGACACAGTTGTTTTGAGGAGGGGAGGTTTCCAGAATGGATGAAAATGAAAGTCCCAATTTTATCCATGCTCCCAATAGTCATTAAATCACATGTTCCACTTAGAGAATTATGAGTTTTATCTAGGTCTTAAAAGTCATGGAAGTGAGATCATTTTTAGAACATGTGTTGCAGAATACAACCTATTACTACTCAGACCCTGAGAAGTGCCTGCCAGCTCAGCAGAGTCTCCAACTAAAAGAACCTCCACAACTCCTGCCCCACTTGCAGAATACAAGGTCTGGCATTAACATAGTGACTTGTCCAAAACCTAAGTTTTTAATAACACTTTGCAATTCTATAAAATAGAATAAACTGCATCTCAATCAATACTTATAACCTCTTTATACACATAAATAGTTCTTAATGACCAGTTGTGGTTGCCAAACTGTTCTTTCCTACCAAACCATGGCCTTCTTTTCTGAACAAATAACAGGGAAATGTTGAGATTCTGTCAGAGACAAGGAAGAGGAGCCACCGCCCCAGGCCCTGACATCCAGTCCAGCCTCTGCCGAGCAGACCAAGGGACAGTATGTGAAGTGAACACTGCCACAGTTTACAGAGTGACTCACGGCAACTGAACAGATGTACTTTATCAGGCCACACTGCTTTTTGTTTGTATTTTCCTAAAACCTAAACATAGGCACCTAGGCTTCCCTGAAGTTGCCGATGTGGTTTCAGATGCCTGCCCAGTAGGCCACGTCATAATTCCCTGACAAGCTGGTCGCTTCCTTTTGCCTCTCTAATGCTGCCTGTTCATTCTCAGGATTTAGGCCAAGGAAAATAACACCCACCAGCCATTTTCAGGCCCAAGCGGGAGAGAGGGCAGTATCCGAGGGTCCTTGGATCCTTGCTAGGGGCAAACCATGGTGGACTGCAGTTCCCTCCACTTCTCCTAGACTACACCACTAACCATGAAACATGTTAGCAAATGGTCAGATTTTTTGGACACTTAAATTTCACTGTACTTCTTTATAAACAACGAACAGTTTCTTTCGGTTCATTGTTCTTGATGTAGGTAAAAGAGATGACAGTTTTCACAGAGTTCAAAAAGGCACTTAATACTTGGGTTAAGCTACTGACTTCCAAGGAGACCTGAGTTTCTTTGATTTCCATCCCAAGTGGATGGTCTCCTACATTATATATAAAAGTGTGTATCACATAACAGAGCTTAATAAAATTCTGAAAACAAGAAAAAACAGGTTATCTATGCCAACTTTGTGTGATCCCTTTTGCTATCAGTTGGTGAATTCAGAGGAACAAGAGTTTTCAAGTCTCAGTCACATAATCGGGAAATCTGAAACGGAGTCCCCCTTTCCCAGCATCTAGAAGTCTTCATTATAACTGAAGAAAAATAATGTTTGAGTCACTTGCCCTTTTGGCACAGTCATTTATGTTAAAAGGTACATAATGGAAAATAAACTAGAGCTGGCTACAGAGGAAAGAAATAGATCTAACTCAGAGCAAGAAATGCCATTCGCATGGCAGGATGAACATGTGCAAAACACGGTGGAAAGGAATTAAACTGGCCGTGGCCACAGACATACACATGAAGGAGCGAGAAAACGTACATTATATAGCTGACTCCTTTTGAGGAAGATAAAGTTGGAATATTCTTAGTATATGTCAAGGAGGAGAAGGAAGAGACTCTAAGGAAAGAAAGAGAAGAGTTACGAAACAGGCTGAAGTAAAAGTCTAGTTATACATATGATGCATTTAAGCTACCCGGCACCACAGGACGTGTGTATACATGCCATGGATAGTTCATCTTAAGAAAAATACTACAAAGCTAGAGGTGACATCAGAGATAATTTTCTTGTTCTCAAATGAGAAAACTGAGGCCTGAGCATGAGCCCAGGGTGACACAGCATGCTGGCATCAGGATGAGGACAAGTATTCAGGTCTCATTAGTTTGGGCATTTTCATTACAAGATACTCCTGTATAAGTAATACAGGGAGAAAAAGGACCAGGATTCAGACATATTGATGAGGGTTTGGTTCCGTATGCTTTTAATACCAGCAAAATTGTATTTCTGCAGTGACAGAACTCAGTCTGTCAATTTGTGGGTACCTAGGGTCCTCCAACCAGCAAAATGACCTTGGGAGGTCAGGAGAATGTTGAGGCGATGTCAGAGCTGTGCTTCAATGTTACACTGAGCTCACACTAGGTCACCTAAGGGTGAAGTTCAACAGATTTACCAAAGGCAAGAAGAAAGCCCCAGAAAACAATGCTTAGGCGTGGGAGAATAATATTCCCAAAACAAATAACAAAGAGAGTTCAATAATTTATGGCAAGCTCAGCAGGAATTTTTGCAAAACATTAAATAGCAGGGTTCTTAATAAGCCCTGAAGAAATATGGGAGGAGAAGCAGCAGGAGAAAACACAAAACCAAATCCAAACATGTAAAAGAAGGAAACAAATAAGGATAAGTTCACCCACACAGAGCTCATCTTTGACTTGGCACTCTTTGTATAGAATAATCATGCCTGCGCTCTCCTACTGAGTGGACTGTAAGCTTCCTGAGGGCAGGGTCACAGGTGTAGTTACCACAGTTAAGTGCCTTTATTAAAGGTCTGCTTCATGAAAGCCCAAGCAATGAAATCAGAAAAAAACTACCCCCAAAAATGTTCCTGCCATTTCCTCTCTACCGATTCAGGTGGCACTGGCCATGTGCGAGACTCACTTTTGATCATGTTGACATCATTGGCCCCGTCTCCAATGGCGAGCGTGATGGCTTTCTTGTACCTCTTCACCAGGTCCACCACCATGGCCTTCTGCTTGGGGGTGACCCGGCAGCAGATGACCGCACTGCACTCACAGGCCAGGTCGACAAAGTTCTGCTGCTGCTGCTCTTTTTTAGCTTCCAGCCTCCTCTTACTTTGTGTCCTCATTCGTCTTTCTTCTTCTGTCCTGGGGAACTTCAGTTTCAAAATCTTACTTCTCTTGGTCTTTTTCTCGAGAAGAATTTCATTCTGTGAAAATCAGAAAGGGAAAGGATTCTAACCATTTGGGGTTTAATAACAAGAGTAGCATTCCGGGCTTCCCTGGTGGCGCAGTGGTTAAGAATCCGCCTGCCAATGCAGAGGACACGGGTTCGAGCCCTGGTCCGGGAAGGTCCGACATGCCCACGGAGCAACTAAGCCTGTACACCACAACTACTGAGCCTGCGCTCTAGAGCCCGTGAGCCACAACTACTGAGCCTGCGGGCCATGACTACTGAAGACTACGCACCTAGAGCCCATGCTCTGCGACAAGAGAAGCCACGGCAATAAGAAGCCTACACACGGAAACGAAGAGTAGCCCCTGCTTGCCGCTGCTAGAGAAAGCCCACACGCAGCGACAAAGACCCAGTGCAGCCAAAGATAGATAAATAAATTTATTTTTTAAAAAGGTACCATTCCCAAGACTTTAATCATCTGAAGGATAATTCTTGGGTTATATCATTGATGATATTGTTCCGATTATAAAATGTTTACTATAAAAATACAGAAAAATTTATACAAAGAATATTTTAAATTAATGATCAACTAGTTAGTTGATAAACTAGTAATAACCACTGCCACCAGTTTGTATCATATAATATTATATGTATCATATAAACTCTCAGACTTGGGAAATTGTACTTTATTTATAGGCTAAGAGATTTTTAGGTTGGTAATTAATATGACAAACCATCTAAAATTGGTCCAGAATGACCTGCTTCAGTTTGAGCCAAAGGGAGAGACACTAATACATACCAACCAAGAACCAGTGATTATTAAGGCACGGTTTCCACCAGATGGAAAAAAAGGTTCGTGTACTTGGGGTACAAATTTTGCATAGACTCCACTTCTGTTCCTCTGGTTTCCCATCCTTGTATGAAGAAGAGCACTGGGGGGAAATTTAAGTGTTTAAAGTACAAGACCATGAACAGGCCCTTGACTGTGAGACAATTTTGACATATAATCTTTTAAAAATTGTAAAAAACACAACATAAAATTTATCATCTTAACTGTTTCTGAGTATACAGTTCAGTAGTATTAAGTATATTCATATCACCAATCTCCAGAACTTTTTCATCTTTTAAAATGAAACTCTATACCTATTAAATAACAACTCCCCACTTCTCCCCTCCCCCCAGCTCCTGGTAATCACCACTCTGCTTCATATAATGGAATCGTATGTGTCTTTGTGTGATTGGCTTATTTCACTTAATACTATCTTATTTCACTGTTCTCAAGGTTTATTCATGTAGCATATGTCAGAATTTTATTCCTTTTTAAGGGTGAATAATATTCCATTGTATGGATATACCACATTTTTGTTTATCCATTCATCTGTCAGTGGACACTTAGGTTGCTTCCACTTCTTGGCTACTGTGAATAATGCCGCTGTGGACATGGGTGGACAAATATCTGTTCAAGTCCCTGCTTTTAATTCTTTTGGATATATACCCAGAAGTGGGATTGCTGGATCATATGGCAGTTCTATTTTTAATTTTTTTGAGGAACCTCCACGCTGTTTTCCATAGTGGCTGCACCAGTTTATATTCCCACCAACAGTGCACAGGGTTCAAATTTTTCCACATACTTGCCCAGACTTGTTACTTTCTGTGTTTTTTAAATAGTAGCCATCCGTGTGAGGTGAAACTGTGGTTTTAATTTGTATTTCTCTAATGCTAAGTGATGTTGAGCATTATTTCATGTTTATTGACCATTTGTATGTCCTCTTTGGAGAAATGTCTGTTCAAGTCCTTTGCCCATTTTTTAATTAAGTGGCATATAATCTTACTAAGTCTTGATTCCTCCACCATGGAGGCACCATGTTCATGGTACTTCATTATTTGCCAAAGGCAGCTAAAGGAAGATACAGTTGAAAATGTGTTCACAAGCAACAGAAGGAGGGCAATCTTGATCTGAATTATAATACACAGGGGTGAACCCTAGTGTATTACAAACAGTGACCACTGTTGGGCAGAAAAAAAACTTATTTCCACACAAAGTTATGTCTGCTTTTGAGATATTCTCAGTGCATTATATCAACAAATTATTGAAAAGACCACATACAACTCACTCATGTGATAGAAAAATGAGTCGTGGAATTTTGGAGTAAAAGGGACTCTAAATATCCAATTTCTTCATGTTACAAATAAGGAAATCAAGCCCGAGAGAGAGAACGTGATTTGCCTGCAGCGAGTTGATGGGAAAACTGCAATGAGGACTCAGGACTCCGAAATCTCAGCCAGAGTTTTCCTCGTTACACACATAGAGCCTTTATTCTTCACCTTTAAGAACAGGTTTCTCAGCCTTGGCACTACTGACGTCTTGGGCCACTTAATTCCATGTTGCGTGTGGCTGTCTATTGTACTGTAGGGTGTTCAGCAGCATCCCTGGCCTCTACCCCCTGGAAGCCAGGAGCACCCCCCTCCTTCCCCACCGTGACAGTCAAAGATGTCTCCAGACATTGCCAAGTGTTCCCCAGAAGGCAAAGTCCCCACCTCCCCTACCCCAGTTGAAAACCACTGCACTAGAAGATTAGGTATTTATTATTCACTTTCCACATTAATTCTCATTTTCAAGTTGAAAATAAGGAGTGATCAAGACAAGTCACTAAAGGCTGGAAGAGAAAAAATATGTATATAATTCATACTAAATAGTGGTGTCTCAAGCCCACTTCCTTTTTCAGCAGACAAGCACTGAGTGCTTCCAAGGAATACAGAAAAACGGCCCCTGAAAAGGCAAACAAGGTCCCAGGTTTTCCTACAACATAAGGTCGAAACATGGTGAATTGGAGCTGCCTGTTGTTTCCTTGCTTCATTTAAACTTGAGGAAACTGTGCCAGCTGACACATTCTAGCTCCCACTTCTCTGTATCTGCTGTGTCTACTGGGTCTAGTCTTGCTTTTATAAAAATGAGACGTGACATATTCTCATACTGCAGGCCCTGTACTCACCTGATATCTTCCCCATAGCAGATAGTGGTATCTTCAGTAAGAAGTTCACAGGCAAATCCTATATTTTCAGCAGTTTCTGCAACAGAAAAAAGTTAAGTCAAATGTCGTTCCTACTGATGAATTTAATAATGGACTTTAGTAATGATATTTTTTCAATTAATGAACCAGATTCAATCACATACGTTGTCTTTCTGTAGCAATGTCTAGAAATCACATAAAAACATCCCTTTCTCTGTAATAAAGTAAATGTAATAAGTCAAAGTCTGGTTGAGATGTTTTCAATAATAAAATGTGCTATATATCAAATACATAAACGGGTTATTTAATAAATCACTGTTGACTGAAATACTGAACACGCTTAGTTCACGTGGTTTAATCATTCTGTCATGGGGGAGAAGGATAACCATTTCCATAAGCCCTCACGTGGGGTTCCTACTGGAGATTTCTTCCCCCTCTTCCACCACCGTTATTTGTTTAAGGTCAGGACTTAATCCCTAAGCTTATCAAAGTGTGTAACCCATCAACTATGTCAACCAGAGTAAGAGAAGTGATCTAGTTTCCCATGGGAGGCTTCTGAAGTAAAGAATCAATACAAACAACTTGTTGAGCTCTAAATTTAAAAATGAAAATCTTCCCTTGGGTATAAAATTTTCATTATAATTTTCAAGCAGTAAAAGGGGCAAGAAAACAAAAGTAGTTGTTCAGTATTTTGTACTGTTCTACTCTATGCCCAACAGGTGGCAAAGTGCTGGGGAGGACAGGTGGGACCAGAGTATAGCAGCCCACATCTGGTGGGAGAGAGAAGACTAAACACAATCAGGAAGACACGACAAAGAGCTCAATTTTAAGGAGTCAACTCTGCTACTGAGGGAGCTTTGGGAAGGATGCGGTCAGGATGGGCTGGAATAACAGAAGGATTTCTTAGGGAAAGAGTCTCTGTCCCAAAGAAACAGACAGTGTTTGTAGAGGATGGAAAGTTTGAGGTCACCTTGAGCAAGGGAAACAGGAGCTATGAATATTTGTGAATTGACAGATATGCTTCCGTGCAAACTAAATTACCCTTTTTGTCTCCAGTGAGCACCCAGATCTTAATGTCAGCTTTTGCAAGTTTTGAAATGGTTTCTGGGACTCCATCTTGTAGCTTGTCTTCAATAGCTGTTGCTCCCAATAGCTGAAATAATACATTAAAAGAAAGGAATTAGCAAATAAGCCAAAAATGTTCTTAATTGCAGTTTGCCAAACTGTAAAAAGGACTAAATACACCCCAGTTGGTGCTCTATTGGGGCCAGTGGCCAGCATTAACTGGGAAGGCTGTCGTGTGTCATACTCATCAAAAACTAAAACAGCCAAACATTTTTTCTTAAAGTAATTCACCAAGACAAAATGTAAGTACAAATCAAAGACAATAAAAAGATACTTTCATTGTGTGTATACTGCTTTACACGGACACAAGCCAATTTCTCTTGCTAAAAGTCAATACTAACTATTCACTGAACATTTCCTTTTAATATAAACACTAAAAGCAGAAAGTCTTAAATGTCTCTTTAACAAATGGTATATTTTCTCATTTCAAGATCTTGCAAAATATAAATCATCTCAGTAATTCTCACAACGTAATAAGTATATGCGGGCTTGTTACTGTATACAAATCACAGTGAACTTTAATAAGTGATGTAAAAATAACAGAATCAGAATCTCATCGTGTTTTCTGTCATTTGGTTTCCCCCAATGGCAACTCCTATTTTGCTTGCTGAACAAAAGAAATTCAGGTGACCTAGATCCACTGTACCAATTTCAAATACTGAAGTTGGAATTCTCTTTCAAGCATGAGATCAAAACTGTAATAAAACTTAATAAAATTTCCAATTCTGTTTGGAATATCAAGGAGAAAGTTACAAAGGTTAAAACTCACAATTAAGTCTTTTTCAATCTCCTCATATACTTTATCCAGAGCTTCATCCCGGTTGGTTGAGGCTATACTTGCAGCCATAAACTTTTTATTCCATTCCTCAAACTCTTTTTCTTCAATTTCCTTATAGCAAAGGCACAGGGTTCTAAGAGTCTCACCTGCAAAGATCTGTTTAATTTAAAAGACAATCCATTCACCCAAAGAATAGTTAATTTTATGTAATTCAAGATCAAGTTTGAAACCTTACTTTGAAATAATACAATAAGAGAATTTTAAAAGACTGTGAAAGATGGATTCTGTACACATACATTCCATAGAGGAGATTAAACAAATACTTTATTTTTCTAAGTATTCTCAATATCTTAGGAATATATTCGTCATTCCAAAATTAGTTCAAGGGAAAAGCATATCTTTCTTCTAAATCAAGTCATGAGAATTTAAAAAACCCTTTTTCTCTTAACGAAGAAAATAACAGACCAAGGAAGCTGCCTTGGGGTATAATGATTTTGTAAACCAGACCTGACACCTTTATAATTTGTTTCTACAAACTGTTACAAGTCCAATCAACTATGAACTCTCAACCAAGCGTTATTCCCTCAAACCAATTCTGAAATACATGAGTCACTGTTAAAGCTGAGATAAAACATTTTAATGAAAGAGTCTGGAAGATTTAATCATGGTGAACAGATTTAAGCCAATTTAAATAGCTTAAACATGAACCAGTAAAAATGTTCCATTACTTCACAATCACATCTTGTCTAGCCCAAAATGGCAGAACTGCTTCACCCAACTGAGGGTCTGTTGTCAAAGACTCTGCAAGGTTCTGCATGTATCTGATTAGACTGCCCTTGTTCATCTCCTCATGAGAAATTATCCAGTGTAACTGCTTCAGTAACATATATAACCTTAAAATGTGACCCCACTTACTAAACATCATATTCATCAGGCTTCTTTCTGAAGGACCTTTGGCCCCCAAACTCTGACCCGTCAAGTGAAGGGAAGAAAAAAACCCTTTATTAAGCACCTACTAAGTGCTAGGGGCTGTGCAAGATGGTTTTCATCCAAGAGGCTTTGCACCAACCCTCCACGGTAGGAATTATCCCCTTCCTCTTCCACACAGGCAATTAATGATTCATCTGAGACATCAACCATTTCCCCCCAGAGGGCACAAAACAAGTAAAGAGGCAGAACTGGGACACCAGATCTGACAGATATGCGACATACTTCATTGCCATCATTATATATAAGCAAAACAATATCAGGGTTGGTAGGCGATTCTAAAAGAGAAATTTCCAGAAGCATTCTGAATAATTGCAGTATCACTGGACCAAGTACATAGTCCCCTAAAATAGCAAGTTTGAAGTAATGAAGACCAAAGTGATTCTCTAACAAAGGTATCAGAACTTGATTATCCAGTGCACTGCTTTGTCGTGCCCTATCATACGTGAATGCTCTCTTTCCTTCACTGTACACTAGGACGTTGGAAGTCTTGGAGACTACAGCACAGGATGGTTATGTAGCTTGCTCGAGTTCACCAGAAGAAAGACCAGTCTTTCTCCTGGATCAGTCCTGTAGATACTGCTGACCTGGATGCTGGGAAGAGGTAGCAAGGTCATTTCCTAGGAAGTCGGCGTCAGGGACAGAACTTATTCCTACTTTGGTGCTCTTTCCACTGAACTACACCAAGACAATAGAAAGGTCAACGGTTAACACAGAGCTTTCATTCCAGCTTAAGGGATAGTACCAGAAAATAAGTTTGGAATCTGTGGCATAAAGAGTGGAAGTGAGACTTACATCCAGGGCATCCTGTGTCTCTTGTTTCATAGGATTCATTCGATGTAACCGTTCATAAATTACAGTGTCAGCACCTTTACAATAAAGCCTGATATTGCCTTCTAGGGTTCTTACTAGTAGCAAGGGAAGGAAAAGCAAATAAAAAAGTTAGTGTTTGATTTCTTAAAAGTACATTCATAAAGTTAATTTGAAGTGTTACAGTGCTAAACATTCATAATTAGTTTAAAATCAGCAATGTACTGAGAAAAATGTTGCTCTCAACAACGTTGGTAAGCCACTGTCTACATAGAATGTAATAGTGAAATAAATATGAAAAGATTCCTTCAGTCAGCTCAGTTTTCCATAGCCTTGCTTATTCTTTCAGCAAATATTCACTGACTCCCTACTATGTGCTAGCTTCTTCCATAGAGCCTTTTTTGTCCATGCCAGCCAGTGGGAATCTTTCTTACCTATAAACCCACAACACTTAACTGCCTTTAATACTGGGACCAAAACACGCTCCTTGTGACCATTTTCTTGGCTTTTTTGATCTCTGCAGTAATTTAATTGTATTACGTGTCTCATCAGTAACTAGATTTTAAGTTCTCTAAGGTAGATGCCAGGCATGATAATCAGCCCAGATCAGTGCTGGGTACGCAGAAAGCACTCAGTAAAATGAGCCTCATCAGAGTTCAGGAGGCAGTTAAACCTATATATCCTTTTGGTTAAAAAGTCAATCTCATGGTGGAAAAGCTTATAGGTATCACTTAACCCAGTGATCCAACTGATGTGACCAGCAGTCACACGCCTTCTGGTGTGATACGCTGGGAAAGACACGGCACCGATCTACGTACCCTTCCTGCCAACAGTGCGTCATCTGAATCTAATTATGAGGGAACATTAGACAAACCCAAACTGAGGGACCCTCGACAAAATAACAGGCCTGGGCTTTTCAAAAATGTCAGCATATGAAAGATCAAAAACAGGTTGTGGAACTCTTCTAGAATAAAGGAGACTAGAGTAACAATCACCGAACGCAATGTGGAATATTAGGTGGGGTCCTGAATCAGAAAGAGAATTCCTGGTAAAATTCGAAAACGTTCTGTACAGATAATAATACTGTAATGTTAAATTTTCTGAGTCCGATCAGTGTACTGTATATAAAAATAGGTGAAGGTTCCCGATCTTAGGGAATACCTACTTAAGTATTTGGGGGAAAGGGGCATGAGATCTGCAACTGACTCTCAAATGGCTGAGAAAACAAGAACTTGTAAATGATAATGACAAAGAATTTGTGACCAGTGCTAACAATGGTGGATATGGAAGAAAATACAGGAGTTCTTTCAAGTGTTCTTGCAATTTTTCTGTAAGTTTGAAATTATTTCAAAAAATGAACTTAAGACATTTCAGTATTATGAAGTGATCACGGTCTCCACTTGGCTGCCTGGGCTGGGGGTATGATTTTGATTCCTAAGCACAGCCTCGCTTTTCTCAGAGCTCCTCTCCTGCTACACTCTCCCTTCCCTGGTGTCCCTCAAGCCTCCAGCAGAAGTGCTCAGAGTGACTCACGATATAAAAGCTCATGTGGGTCTACCACCCACGGTGCTGCCACCCAGATTCCACAGCTGGCAGCCCACATCTTTGAAGATACACCAACATCTGCAAGATTCAGATCTACTGCATTTGTCCCTTCGAGTGATGGACATGGTGTAGAATGAAGAAAGAAGACACTAGTTTGAACAAGCCTGCGGAAATCCTCCGGGAGCCAAGGGGTTCATTCACTGCCTATTTTATCCTGGTGTCGCTAAATAAAATGTGTGAAAGGCAGCATCTCAATGAGCCATTCACAGACATACCCTGAGGGGAGACCTACCAATTATAGACATTCGCTTCCGGTCACTGTTGAAGTCTAAAATGGCGAGAACACTGTAGGTCCTCTCAGTGCCCAACTCACTGATGGTGATCGTGTTCTGGGTCCTGGTGAGGAAGACAAAACCGAAGTTCCTGGCGGCGCTTACCAGAGCACCTTCGTCAGGAGAGGCCGCCTGGTAGTTGAGCTGACCTAGCAAGCGAGGCAGGAGAGAAAACAAGAAAAGCTGAGCTCACCAAGGGTTCACCAGTGCAGTTCACGTGCTGGGTGAGGATGTATGGTTACCCCTCGGTACCCGCAGGGGACTGATTCCAGGAGCACCCGCAGGCAAATTCTATGGATGCTCTAGTCCCTTACAAAATGGCAGACTACAGCAGATACAGCTGGTGTTCCGCATCTGCAGGCACAGAGGACCAACGGTACTGCAAAGCCCAAATCAGCCTCAAGAAAACAAGTCACTGATTTTTAAGGAGTATGCCAACATTAATTTTAAAGTTTTTAAAAGGTAAACTTTTGTTTCTAATCATAAACAGTGATATAAACGAGAAGTAAAAAAAAAGAAGAAAAATCTGGCCAAGAATAGGGGGAAAAAAAATCTCATAATCCCACCATCTAGAGGAAAAACAACACTATTGACATTCTGTTATCATTTCTTCCAGTCCTTTTGGAAATGCCTATTTCTGTAATAGTTTCCATCATGCTAAATATACATTTACATCCTGATTATTTTAACATTGTATTTTGAGCATGTTATCATAGGTTTAAAAAAGTCTTTCTATGTATTATTTTAAAGGAATGTAACCTGTGAATGTAACATGCGACCATTTTCCTATTACAGGCACTTAGTTCCTTCCCCCGATTTTTTTACTCTAAAAAATAACATTGTGAACTTCCCTGGTGGTGCAGTGGTTGGGAATCTGCCTGCCAATGCAAGGGACATGGGTTCGATCTCTGGTCCGGGAAGATCCCACATGCCACGGAGCAACTAAGCCCACGTGCCACAACTACTGAGTCTGCGTGCCGCAACTGCTGAAGCCCGCGCACCTAGAGCCCGTGCTCCGCAACAAGAGAAGCCACCGCAATGAGAAGCCCGTGCACTGCTGCGAGGAGTGACCGCCGCTCACCACAACCAGAGAAAGCCCGCGTGCAGCAACCAAGACCCAACACAGCCATAAATAAATAAATAAACAAACAAACAAAACTGCCTTCTCTCAAACCACTAAAAAAAAGTTTAAAAAATAATTAAAAAACACTGTAATAAGCATTTTGTATGTGTATAAAGGTTTTTCTGACTCTATTTTCTAAGGATAGCTTCCTAGTCATGAAAATACTGGGGTAAAGAATATTGATAATTTTTAAACCTGTTGGCATATATTTTACTCACTTCTTTTCTAAAAGGGTTGTACCAGGTTATTTTCCCTCTAGAAGAGTGTGCTTTCTTCAACTTAGCTATATTCTCATAATTTAAAAAAGTCTCAAAATGTATCAATCTGTTCAATATCTTGATATTTGAAAGTTATATAATGGGAAACTGCCTTTATTTCACAACTAAATTGCAACAATAGGAGTAAATCTCCCAATGTTGAGTGGAGAAGCCAGACACCGAGTACATACCACATAATTCCATTTACACGAACCGCAAAACAGACAAAGCTAACCCACACTGTTCGAAGTCAGGACAGTAGTCACCCCTGGAGGGGCAATGACTGAAAGGGAACATAAAAGGGATGTCTAGGGGATGGAAAATGTTCTGTTTGTAAAAATCTGGGTACTCACGACAAGGGAGTATTCAACCTGTGAAAACGAGCTATATGCTTGTCTCTGTACACGTGTTGTACCTCAGTAAAAAGTTAAAAGGAAAAAAAAAAGCTCCGCCTATCCAAGAGTTTCTATTTTTCTACTCTTAGTTCTTCCATCTTAAAGTAGAATGGAAAGTATTTCTATAGTCAGATGAATTTCCACAGGAAAAGGCATTTCGTTTTCCACCATGGTATGATCAGGATGCACCCATAGATGGATGGGCAGTTCTTTACCCCGTCCATCTATGGGGAGGGGGCGGATGCCCCAGGGTGCACAGCTGTAGGTAGAGAGAGCTAAACGCCCCGTCCCTACCCTACTCCCTTCACATACATGCGCAGGTGGTTCACTCTAAATCAATATTAATCACTCCCAAATAGTAATTAAAGATGACAGGTTGGTCTCTCTCCATCTGTTCACCCAGAAAGTCATACACCAGAAGTTATGAATGTACTTGCTAAATCCAGCCATTCTACAAACACACACACATGCCAGAGGGTAAAATATTTAACCACAGCTAAACAAGCAGCAGTGAGAACACAGTCCCCTCCCTTCAGCAAGTTTCGCTGGCAGGGATATATTGCATCATACTGAAGGCAAACTTATTTCCAACAGAAAAAAAAAAGGAACAAAATGATAAAGGGTGGCAAAGTTCCCATGAGTAAGAAAATCATATCTGGAGAGAACACTGATATTTTTATCATTAAAAGAAAATCCTTCCATTTTGTTCTCGTAATGCAATCACAGAATTGCAGACTAATAGAGACAGGAGGAACTTCAGAGACCTGGTCCAAACTCCAACTTTATGTTTGCAGGAGGAAACCTGGACTAAAAATTAACCTCCTGAAACCTCTTCTGAAGAAAACTCTTTATTTACCACACGCTCAGACACAACCAAAGAGACTTTCTTTTCTTTTACAGACTAATTTGTGGGTCACAGAACTGATGCAAATAAAATAGATGCTGAAACAACAAACCCCACCTCTCATTATCCTGATTCCATAGCTTCCTCTGGCTGATAATCTTCTAGTCACCAGTCTTGAAACAAGTTACGTCTCAGATTGACTATCCCCCCCCCCCCCCCCCCTTTGTTACTTTTTCATCCTTCCCAAAGACTCCACGCTAACCCAGGTCCTCAGTTTCCTCACCCATCTCGTGTGTCCTGGCTCCAAACTCCTAAAACTCAGGTCTCTAATCATAATCTCATGGTTCATCCCAACTTAAAGGGCTTCAGGCAAAGAAACTGCCTCCAAGCCTTTCGAACTCTTCTCTCCCATGGCCTCTGCAGGAGGCAGGAGGCTACAATGGCCCCAAGGTGCGTCTCCCCACCCTGTGTACACATACACTTTCTCCCAGTGACTCAAGCAAACTCTAACCAAGGTACTGCTGGGAAGGGATTTTATTGATATAATTCAGGTCCAGATCGGGGTTGACCTTAAGATAAGGAGATTATCTGGGTGTTCCCAACCTAACTGGGTCAGTCCTCAAAAGGGACGGGGCTCTTCCTGGAGAGAGAGATTTGAAGCATGAAAGGGGTTTGATGGAAGGGAGATTCTCCACTGCTGGTTTGAAGACAGGGGGAACCATGTGGCAAGGAAGGAGGGAGGCCCTGGGAGCAGAAAGCAGCCCCAGCTGACAGCCAGCAAGGAAATGGAGACCTTAGTCCTACAACCACAGAGAACTGAATCCTGCTCTCAGCTTGCAAGAGGATGCTGATCTCCAGTTGACAACGTGGCCTGACCTTGATTCTAGGGAGATTCTTAGCAGAGAACCCAGTCACGCCATGTGCCCAGACTTCTGACCTAAAGAACTGTGAGCTAATGAATGGGTGATTTAAGCCACTGGCTTGTGGTGATCCACTACAGAGCAACAGAAAACCAATGCAGCTTCTCCACACTCAGCCTCCACGTGCCCTACATGTACTCAACACTTGGGCCACACAAACCTTCTGCTGAGCATACGTGACAAGATTCTCACCTCTCACTGTTGATGTTATGCATAATAAAAGATGAGCCAATCTCTACTCTTCTTGTAAAAGAGGGAAAAGGAGAGTGCAAGAGCAGAGGCACACCAGCATGGTGGAGTGGAAGGACTCAGCTAAAATGGGTCCTAATGTGCTGTCTGAGATCAGGGAGGTCTTGGTGCTTCTGGTCTGAATTTCCTCATCTATAACATTTGGAGGAGTTACTCCCAAGGTCCCTTCCAATGGACCCCTTCAAGGTGCTTTTATGTATCAAAGCCAAAATCATTTTTTCTTTTATCTCCAATAGCTTCTACACATTTAGTTTTTATGCCTATTTCTCCTCTGGAGATTTCATCCACTACATGTGAAGCCTCAGCATCAGAAAACAGAAAAGGACATTCGTTTGTATGCTGGGCTGATTAAAGTGGAGAATGCATATGACAAAAGGGCGCCTTTTGCTCTCTCCAGAATGCACATGTGTATCTATATAATGTATCATTGTGTCCATAGGTGACAAAATACCTAGCTTTCATTAATACTCGACAAATTTGCTCTAACAAAGCTAGCACAAGCTGCATTTAAGAATGCTGCAGACTTGGAAACAACCTAAATGTCCATCGACAGATGAACAGAAGATGTGGTATAGATACACAATGGAATATTACTCAGCCATAAAAAAACAATGAAATAATGCCATTTGCAGCAACATGGATGGACCCAGAGATTGTCATACTGAGTGAAGTCAGAAAGAGGAAGACAAATACCATATGATATCACTTACCTGTGGAATCTAAAATATGACACAAATGAACTTAAACAGAAACTGACTCACAAACAGAGACAACAGACTTGTGGTTGCCGAGGGAGAGGGAGGGTGGGGGAGGAATGCAGTGAGAGTTTGGGATTAGCAGATGCAAACTACTGTATAGAATGGATAAACAACAAGGTCCTACTGTATAGCATAGGAAACTGTATTTAATATCCTATGATAAACCATAATGGAAAATAATACAAAAAAGAATGTACCTACATGTATGACTGAATCACTTTGCTGTACAGCAGAAATTAACACAACACTGTAAATCAACTATACTTCAATTTTTTTTAAAAAGGTTAATTTTAAAAAAATAGAATTGTTCAGAGGAATCTACAAGTCAACTTGCTTGTTCCCATGCAAATACACACGAATTATGTTCCTTCAAAAGAAAAAGGCAACTTCAGGAGGCCTAGGCTTTTGGCTGCTACTATTTCAAACCCCAAACATATCTGAATGTAAAATATAAGTTCTCTCTGAAATTATTTTGTAGTAAAGACTGTCCAAGTTTAAAGTCCACTTATCCAGATAAGGTGTGACTCTTCATAAATATTAAGTATTCAGATAGCGAGAAGATTTTGATTCTTCTGTTATAATGCAAGAGTCAATCATTTTTTTTTACTGATAAGATTTCAATTCCAAAGTGATAAACACATCTGGAGCTAGAACTGTGAAGGAGATGTATATTTCCGGAGGCTAGGAGCCTGTTTCATGGGTTGCTGGCTCGTATACCATGTAGTGGAAGGGGCCCACAGACAGTCATCGTTTGGGTGGAGATTCGACAAACTTGTCACGCACACAACTCTTTTTTTATTTTTCCTTTGGACAGTAATATTTGTTATTATAGGAAATATGTACACACCTTGTTATATTTGTACTTTGAATTAATTTAGTGATAATTTGCAATATGCTATGTGGATTCAGACTGCAATCATTTGAAACTTTACGTGATATACCATCATAATTCATATGATCCTGTGATTCTAAAGTTTAAATCTCACCAGGTTGAGATGGGAATTTTCAGAAGTCATTTACTTTGAGGGTATTTGGGTTCTCTGAAATACGTGACAGGATCCCTGGGAGAAGGACTTTAAGACAGTTGCACTGCTATCCATTCACTTCTTTTCCCCAGAAGGGGTTAAAAAAAAAAAAAAAAGGACTCAGGCAACCTGGTCTAACCGTTTTGTCAGCTAGCCCTCTGGGTAAACAGACCAATCATATTTTTTAGGAAGAAGAAACCTTATATCAGAAATGCCTTTTGCAGGATATCTCTGGCAAAGAATTACCTATGGGAAATAGAACCCAGGATCTAGAAGGCAAGGCTCCCTGGAGTATGCCATGTAAGCCATGCACTTCTCTGGGGTATAAAATATCATAATTGAAACCTAACTGAAACACCTCTAGTTCATACAACTCTTTATATGTGCATTCGAGTCCCAAGCACGAGTTCCCCGTAAACTAAAAAAACTGGTCCCCAGTGTCCGAGATGCGAGAGCCACACTCACCGTCGAGCCTGTCCACCATGACCGTGTGGCACACCGCCAGCAGGAAGAAGAACTGTCGCACTTCCGGCTCCTTCCCCGACTGGATTTGCTCGATGAGATAATGGTCATAAAATACAAGCTTCCCATCGGAATACGTATTCCAGCTAAAATCCACTGGCTGAAAGCAGCAGAGGAGGAAACGTCGGTGTGATTTAAAAGAAACAACTTGGGCTTCACAAATGACAGGAACTTTTCTCTGAAGCCGTGTCTTCATGCAAGCATCACCTTAGGATTTTAACACGTTCTGAAGTGTCAAGAGGCTCACATCTGTCTTAACACAGCCTGTTGTGAGTTGCATTGTGTCCACTCAAAAAGATATGTTGTCCTAACCTCTGGTACCTGGGAATAGGACCTTCTTTGGAAATAAGGTCTTGGTAGATGTAATCAAAATTAGGGTATGCTGGATTGGGGGGGCCCTAATCCAATGACTGGTATCTTTATAAAAGGAGGGAAATCCGGACACAGACACAGGCAGGCTTCTGAGTGCTGAGTCTACAAGCCAAGGAATGCCAAGGATTGCAGGCAACCACCAGAACCTAGGAAAAGGCAAGCAAGGATTCTGCCCTAGAGCCTCCGGAGGGAGAGTGGCCCTGCTGACACCTTAATTTCAAACTTTTAGCCTCCAGAGCTGTGAGGGAATACATTATTGTTGCTCTAAGCCCCCCATTTCATGGTGGTTTGTTACAGCCCAGGAAACTCACACACAACCCAAGAGGTTTCCTAAGTGAAAGGACTCACCTCTATTTTGCTATGACTGTTCTGAGAAGCATCCCGATGGTCTCCTGTGAACAAACAGGACAAAACAAATTGAGTCAACGGGTCTCAAAGCCTGTTTCTGGACAGCCCTCGAGTTAAGAATGGTTTTTCAAGAGTTTTAAAAAAACAAACAAAGCATAACAAAGAAGATATTTGATACCGACCATATGTGGCCGGCAAAGGCTAAAATATTTCCTATCTGGCTCTTTACAGAAAAAGTGTGCTGGTTTCTGGTCTAGAGGTTCAAATACTGGCAAATTGTGTCCGTCTACACTGCCATCTCCTCTGGGGCCAGAATCACGTCCTAGGAAGTGCTTTACCCCCGCCCTCCCCCAGCTCGGAAGGAACCACCGCCCACGCAGAGGAGAACCCCTTCCTCAAGCCCTCAGCATCCCACCTTCCTCACTGATGTTCTGGGAAAGTACCATACACAGCACAAAGTTTCCTCCAAGTGGAAAGCATATGATGTTATGCTTACAGCTTTTAAAAGAATTATATCGTTTTTCTTTAAAAGTTAGAGCACCCTATTTGAATACAGCATTAGCCTTGAATCTATAGCACATTTCAGAATATCAAATGGAAATCAATTTTTAAAATATAATTGTAGTGAAATACACGTTAACATACAATTTACCACCTCAACTATTTTTTTTTTATTTGGTGGTACGCGGGCCTCTCACTGCTGTGGCCTCTCCCGTTGCGGAGCACAGGCTCCGGACGCGCAGGCTCAGCGGCCATGGCTCATGGGCCCAGCCGCTCCGCGGCATGTGGGATCCTCCCGGACCCGCGTCCCCTGCATCGGCAGGCGGACTCTCAACCGCTGCGCCACCAGGGAAGCCCCATCTCAACTATTTTTGAGTGAACAGTTCAGCCGCACTAAGTCCAATCACACAGCTGTGCGGCCATCAACACCATCCATCTCCATGGCTCTTTCGTCTGGTAAAATTGAAACTCTGTGCTCACTAAACACTAACTCCTCATTCCCTTCTCTCCTCAGCCCCTGGCAACCACCATTCTATTCTCTGTCTCTATGAATTTGACTCCTCCAAGTACCTCAAGTAAGTGGAATCATACAATATGTGTCCTTCTGTGCCTGGCTTATTTCACTTAGCAGAATGACCTCAAGGTTCATCCATGTCGTAGCAAGTTTCAGAATCGCCTTCATTTTTAAGGCTGAATAAAATCCCATTGTGTGTATATACCACATTTTCCTTATCCATTCATCCACTGATGGACACTTAGGTTCCTTCTAAACCTTCACCACTGTGAATAATGCTGCTACGAACATGGGTGTGCACATACTGCTCGAGTCCCTGCTTTCCGTTCATTTGGGGTGTGCACCCAGGAGCAGAATTGCTGGGTCACATGACAAGTTACATTTTTGCGGAATGTGTACCTATTTCTGACCCCTGACCTCCCCGAGCCACTCTGGGAAGGCAGCCTCTGGTCACACATGCCCAGGGACTGAGTAACAGCTTCCACTCACCGTAAATTTGCCCGTTGATGCAGCATTTTTTAAAGGTCATGATGTTCTGTGTGAGCGTCCCTGTCTTGTCAGAGAAGATGTAATGGATCTGCCCGAGCTGCTCATTCAGCGTGGTGGTTCTTGCCTTCGCGGGCGTGTCTTTCTCAGGATAGTACATCTGCAGGTCCCAGTTGATGAAGTAACTCTGTCCAAGACGAATCACTTCCACGCTAGGAAGACAAAAGATTACCTTTGATCGAGCTCTCAGATATGAGTGGCAGGCAGTGGATCTTGTCCTAACTTTGCACCAGGAGCAAGCTGCTTATCTATTGATACAAAGAGACAAGCCCTGTGGTGACCCATGTGCCCAGTCTCTGGGTTCTCCTGACCAAACACATCTGTCTCCAGCTTCAGGGTCAAAGTGTCCCCTCAATGTGATTTCCTACTCACTCCTGAGCACATCTGGCCACGGCACCCCACGTTCAGAACACGCCACCCACACGGGTGACATGGTAACACTGCGGGGGGCACCCCACGATGTGACAGCTTCTACTCTTTTCTCTCATTCCCCATCGCACTCAGAGACAACTGGAAAGGCATGTTCACCTTTGCCCTCAACTGGAGGACAAAGGGAGTGAGGGTCCACTAGGTTATACACCCATGTACTCTCAAGTAGGACAAAGGGCTTTTGGCAAACAGCCCCTAAAGCATGTTTTTTTCCTAAATTGTTTTTTTTAACCATTTTTTAATTGAAGTATATGGTGTTAGTTTCAGGTATACAGCAAAGTGATTCAGTGATATATATATGTATTTTTTTTGAGGAATGCGTACCTATATTTACATATTCTTTTTCAGATTCTTTTCCATTATAGGTTATTACAAGATACTGAATATAGTTCCCTGTGCTAAACAGTAGGTCCTTGTCATTTATCCATTTTGTATACAGTCCTAAATTCTCATAGGGTTACAGAATGTCCAAAATACGATATTCTAAAAGGATAATTTCCATTTAAAAACTATAACTGATTAAATCTATCTCAACTATGTAAGAAAGGTGCTTACACATCCAGCAACTGTTCAGTGGGCAAAGGATGTGTCTATAATAAGTTAAACAAATGGAAAAATAACTCCCTCCTTCTCTCCTCCCTTCTGTATTTCCTGAGTGTCTACTATGTACCAGACACCATCCTAGGTACAGGGGACACATCAGTAAACAAAAGAGACAAAAACCCTGCTCTCAAGGAGGTTACCTTCTAATGGAGATGGACAAATAAATAAACTGGTAAACACACAGTATATCAGGTGATGAAAATTCTCTGCAGAAAATCAAAGCAGGGTGAGGGGAGCTGGAGACCGACAGGCAGAGGAAGTGATGTTTAAGAAAGAGAAGGTCAGGAAAAGCCAGGGGGATAAGGTGATTTTTGAGCAGAGACCTGAAGGAAATGAAAGAGCAACCATGTAGATACAGAGGGGAAAAGCATGTTACAGGTGGAGGTCAGAGCAGGCGCAAAGGCCCTGTGGCAGGCACTGGTACAGCTGAGGAATTCAAGGAGGCTAGAGATGAGGGAGTCCAGGGAGTGGGTAGAGATGCTGGAGGTTATGGTTGGGTGTGGAGGGCAGAGCAGCAGATCACATGGGCCTTGGGGGTATAGTGTGGCTTCAGTGAGTCTTTTCTGAATGAATAGACTGTAGGGTTAAAAACAAAGCAGAGATACTATCTGAAATGACCTGATCGATTTATAGTTTGAAAGGACCTTTACTTCCAAGAGAAACAAAGAAAATCATATTAGTCACATGATGTGGCTTTTTAAACCTAAAACTACATATATGGTTTATTTCATAACATACGTTTATAGATAGAGACAAAATCATCTGTATAATAGTTCCCCTAACAAAGGTAAAACTCATCTCAGTTTTTTGTTTTTTTTAAATAACTGCAAACACATGGCTCCCCAGGGCTTTACTTCATGTTAAAAGAACAATAGTAACTACCTGTAATAAAATTAAAAATAAAACAAATGCACATGTAATAAAATTAAAATAAAATAAATGCTTCTAATTACAGGTGTGCATGTGGCCCTATATGCCTCTGGGCTATTACTTCTCGGAACTAAGAGAAGCTCTGAATGCTGGGAATATCCCAAGGCACCATTTCTCTCCCAACGGTCTGAAGTTCAATTGACCAGGGATAGTGAACTTTGATATTAAAAAACGAAAAAGTAAAAAAAGTCCGAAATATCACAAAAATATCACAAAACAAGATACGATCCTGACTCTTATCGCGGTTGAGGTTGAGATGAGAAACACAGAACATTTTGAGAGGTTGACGGTGGGCAGGGAGAGTGGTATTCCCATTAGAAGGCAGCATTCAGGAAACCCAGTGAGTTTTCCAAGCAATAGGTATAGCAGGTGGTAATAAGGAAGACACAGAAAAGAGGTTAGGAAGGCTCCTGAAAAGGAAAACAACCAAGTTATTCCACGACGTTGTAAATCTTCACACAGCTCTTTCTGATGCTTGGGCTTTGGAGCCCACCAAGAAGGAATCTTGCCAAGCAAGTGACTAAGGAGTAGAGTTTGATCTCTGAATCTGGTAGCCGTATCTGTCAAGAGGTCGAGATAAAAGATGCTGTGTCTGGCACAGAGCAGACACACCAACGTTAATTTCCTTTCCCCGTATCACCCTCAAATCTGAAATGAAAGCTATTTTCTTACTTGCTCCTTATAACCTTTGAAACAAGAATTGCTAGAGCTGAAGGTGTTAAGTTGGGAAGATGTACTGTGTTCTTCCATTAAAGCAAAAGGCCAAAGAGAAGACAGCCTTACCTGACGTAGAGAGAGATGGGCACCAGGGTATTCAGAACAATGATGTAGCCCCAGAAATTTAGGAATCCACGGTAGGAGGGTGTAGTGTCTTCTCCATCATAGAGGTACCAAGAATAATTGCCAACTTGAGCTTCCCAGTAAGCATGGCCGATGGCAAGACCCGCAGAAAGCAAGATAAGAACAACAAAGATCTAAAAGACATTCAACAGTTAAGTTTATTCTAAAGATGCATTGTCGACCCCACGCATTTTATAGATGCTAGTTTATCTTATCAATACTTTCCTTATGTATGATAATTTAGTAGTCTGTAAAAACAACACACTTAAAATAGAAACAGTATCATAAGAATGCTTTGAAAGTCTATTTATTTCCATGGTTGATTGATTTATCCTACATACCACATAGAAGGTGAAGTTTCGTTCCCAAAATTATCTTTCAGAAGAGAAGGTGGTATCTTACATTCAAATCTTTAAATATTCTCATATTATTGGACATCCTCTCAATTACTTTTCCTTTGAACAATAGCATGCTGTTTGGGAAAGACACCTTACCTTAGCATGAAACAATTTCAAAGAATGCTAAACTGGGATACGTTTGGAAAATGTTGGAAGGAAATGATTTTTTTTAAAGAAGAAGGCAAGAAAATTTTACCCAGATTTGGGTAATTATTCCTGAAGGTTTAATGATCACTTAACGTTTACGATCCTTTAAGAAGTCATATAGTAAGTATTCTGTTGTGGAAATTGAGCATATACTTAAGGGATGAATAAAAAAGTCAACAGCCCTAGTGTTAGCTGGTTATTTGTGGGTAAGAATAAAATTTCCAGGGGCAAATTTAATTTTCTGGACACAGATTCCGAAAGTGCTATATTTCAAAAGAACTTGGCACAGAGGAGAGATGATGAGCACCTTGTGAAGAGATGATGAGCCTCTTGTGAAGGCTCACGCCATAACCAAGACAATGACATGGAAGATGCATCAGAAAAGTTCAAATGAAGTTTTCATGAAATGTGAGAGCAGGGAAAAACGAATTGTCCTTAAATTAATATATTACTTTTATGTAATTCTGAATATGTATATGCAATTGAAGTCCTGTAAGTATTATAAGTCTCTAAAAGTTTACGTATTCAAATTAAACTAGATCAGATTGATCAAAATGGTGGACTAGAAGGACCTGGAATTCACCTCCCCTGTGAACATACCAAACTAAACTAAATACCTGAAAAAACTTCTCATTGGCAAACTGGAAGACTGCCTGATATTTAGGGCCACCCTACATGCAGAACAGTTAACATAGCAGTCCTGAGACTGCTATCCTTAGAAGGCCTGTTTGCAAGGTTGACTGTTGGCTGGCTTCTGGGAACTTAGATTTTGGAAGGGTTTCCTGATTCCTTATTTCTTATTCTCTGACAAGAATGGCTCACTGTGCCTAACTATTTGTGTAAAACAATATGTTTTATGCTGAATACCCACATTCCTTTAGGGAGTCTGAAATTTTGGTACATGCCAGGCAGATAAGTGCCTACACGACCAGACCCCAATAAAACCCAGGCACTGAGTCTCTAATGAGCTTCTCTGGTATAACCAACATTTCACATGGGCTGACACAAATTGTCACTGGGGAGGATTAAGTGTGTCTGGTGTGTATGACCCCACTGGGTGTGTATGACCCCACTGGGAGAGGACTCTTGGAAGCTTGCGCCTGGTTTTCTCTGAACTTTGCCCCATGAGCCTTCTCCCTTTGCTGATCTTGCTTTGTAATAAGCAAGAATTATCATAATAAATTCTAACTATAAGGACAACTATACACTGAATTCTATAAATCCTCCTAGTGAATCATCAAAACTGGAGGTGGTCTTGGGGACCCTTGAGAGAACTTATACCTAAATTTGCCTTATATTTGGACTCATACAGTACATGTTGGGGGGCAAAAAAAAAAAAGGTTGGCTTTTAAGAGAACTATCCCTATGGGAAACTAACAGCAGTAAAATCAACCCTACATTGACTTTAGGAGTTCAGTCCCACTAACTTATCTAAGGCTCCCTGGTTTCCCAACTGATCACTTCACTCATCAACTCAGGATACCCAACAACTGAAATTTACATTCCCAGGGAGATTCTCCAATTAGAAATGTAGCATTTCTGAGAAAAGGTGAGGGAACCTCCTCTCCCACCCACCCGCTCCCAACTCTGGTGCACCTTGTGAACTTTTCTACTTGGCCTATAGAAATAAGACTTCTCTGCGTCAACAAATCTAGACCAAAAGACAGCAATCTACCAAAACAGAAAATAAATACCGTATACACCATGTAGTTCATCAAGTAATCAATTTTAGTTCTTTTAAATCTGGTTTTCCCACTATTCTTCATTATTTTAGTGTCAGCACCTAAAAATGGAAAATTCAATATGATCAACAATTGGGAAAATCAATTCACTGGCATGTCAGTAAAATGACTCTTTCTTTGGTTTCAACGGAGAAAGGACATAAAATCAATTTCCTCCTTTACATTTTTAATGAGCCTACAGATCAATTTCCCAAAAGACTCAGAAAGTACCTGCAAAAATGACCAATCCATGGCAGAAATCAGTGTTCCTGATCACACAGCCGCGTAACAAAATTTTATCAGCATCCAAAGGAAAACTTGTATTTCTCCAAAACAGTGTTCCTGTAAACTTATCTAGTCGGTTATTCGGTTCCTCACATTCAATAAAACCTTTTAAAGGAGATATGATCTACATAAGTACTCACATATGAAAGATTTTCTGGTTTTAATTAATACGGACTGAATCAAGCAATGAAAATTTGAAACAAAGGAAGACGTGTTTGCACAAACCATCAAATGTTGCCAATGAAGTTTCTTTCTGGAGATACTGGTGTGTGATTTCAAGTGCCATTTTGAACTTTAAATTGGTTTCTCTAAAGGAAGAGAAAAAACAATTAAATGAACAAATTTCAGAGTTCGAAAAGGAAGTTAAAGAAAATTGTACAAAGTAACATTAGGCATACCTGGAAGTGAAAGGTAAATAATGCGTTTTTTTCTATTTTCAAGCTCTCTGTTCACTTTGGAACTTCAGGTTTGGATGAAGTTATCCCCTGAACTAGATAAAAATCCCTCACCCAGGAAATGCTGGCCCCCTTTGCTGTTTGTTACAGTGAGGCAATCTGGGTAGGACAGAGGTACCCAGAAGCTTCCTTTCCCACTTCTTACTAACTTAATTCTTACCACCAACCTGAACTATCAAACTGCTGTTTCAAAACTTAGCTTCTAACATTTAATCACACTAAGATAATTCTACAAAACATATTTGTGTTTGAAAGGGTCAAGACTCTATCAAGACTCTATTTTCTAGAGTGAAAACTGGATCCTATGTCTTTGAAAGATTAATTCTATCTAAAAAAGGACATGGTCACCTTACCCCCAATACTTGGCATGTCCCCACCACAGTGGAAGACTAGGCACATGCAAGAGGACACGCAGGGCCAGGCTGCGCACACATGCTCTGGAAAGCAAGCCTTTCTTACTACGATGAATGACTTTTTTCTAGTTCCACAAATACTGACTGGGGATTTCCATGCACTAAGAAGTGGACCAGTGGTTCTCAACCTTCCATTCTGTTTGCTCTGACAGAGCATGCTAGCATTTTATATCTTTGTAAAACTTTAGAATCTCTCACTCACGGGAATAAGAGCTGTTGTACAGTTAAGGTTGAACAGACTGACTTATAGAGCAAAGAAAGCCCTCGTTTTTACTCAGATGATCTCAGCTCTCCATAACGAAGCTTACGCACATCTAGGGTGTGGGGAAAGGGGTTTATGCCAGAATGGAACGCACAGGCACTGGCCTTGGGAGCGAGCACAGGGGAGTAGCACTCCAACTCTGCCACCCACTGTGTGACCTTGGGCAGGCGGCCTCCCCTCCAGTGCCTCAGTTTCCTCATGGGTAACTTCGAGGTAATAATAATATTGCCTCAGAGGGTTGTTGAAAAAATTAAATGAGCTACTACGCAAAACTAATGCAACCTAGTCGGCACTCCATAAATATACTAAAAACTGGTCAAGATGGTCGAAAATGGAAGTTTATCTTTTCAAGTGGTAGCATAATAACCAAAACCTACAAAGGGGGAAAATAGTCCACTGGCAAAGACTTTAAAAATCTATTCTTTTTATCCAAAACAGATACTAATAGTCATTCATCTGTGTCTGAACCCTGATCAGCAGCTTACAAAGGGCTCAGACGTACATTGTGTCATCAAACCGTCTACTTTCCCTGAAAATGGGCTTTCAGATATGGCGATGGAATAGCTTGGTATACTAGGGAGTCAGACCACTGTTGTCTTACTGTTGCTCCTTCTAGGCACTAACAAGGCAAAGACAAAGAGAGGCTGGTCTCCTACAGAGGTTGCTGGGCAGCCAGCAGGCGGTAGAGGTAAGGCCAGACCTCAGGGCTTCTCATCCAAGTGCACAGCTTTCAATGTAACAAAGGTTAGCCTTCCAAAGGTTAGCTTTCCAGCGGGCCCAGCTAAGACCCACTTACCCATCCAGTTCAGCCGTTTCCACGTAGCAGAGGCTGTTAGGTTCAGAGCTGGACAGCAGCAGGATGTCAGCCTGTTTGAAACAAAACACACCAATAACACAGAGAGACCCTGACCCCCCCAGGCAAAACTGAGCACCAGGTCAGATGTGAGGGCAAGGAATGAGATAGCAGAGCTTGTCCACTTACTGGGATGAAATCATTTTTTTTCAGACGAATGACATCTCCGACTTGAATCTCTTTCCACTTGGCAATTTTGAACCTAAATATTAAAAAAAACCAAATGATAGCTTAGTGGCTTTTTAAAGTTACTGGCAAGGGATTTGGAATTATTCTGTCTGGAAGCCAAAGATTCTGGGAAAACATATACATCACAGGGAAAAGGTGTGCCAAAAGTCCAGCCATTGATGATTGAGGGGTCACAGGATTGTCATCGCCTCTGAAGGAAGGAACAGTGGCGGTGCTGACTTTGATGTGTCCTTTCCATTCTATGTTGTATAACTGAGGGTCAATGGGGGCTCCTTAAATGTGTGCGAAGGAGACACATGCCACGCCTCTGTTTTTGCTCATGTCCTGTGCTCCCAGCCCTTCTCCTTCCTTTCCTCTCAGTTATCCATCACCTGCTGGTCCCAGGACAGGGATGCACTATGGCTCCCACATGGGCCACCTGGAATCATCATGGAGCTTTAGTGCTGGCCTCCTCTCTACTGTTTAAAGTTATCTTTTTGATGAGTGTGTACCACTTTCCTAATGAATCTCCTAAGGATATTGATAAAATAAAAAGATTGCTTCCTTCAGTATTAAATTCTACTGGAAACACCCATTTAAATGTTTAACAAGTCAACATTTTTTAAAAGTTTTAAAATATAGTACAGGCAGACCTCGGAGATACTGCAGGTTCAGTTCCAGGCCACCACAACAAAGCAAATATTGCAATAAAGCGAGTCATATGAAATTTTTGGTTTCCAGTGCATATAAATGTTATGTTTACACTATACTGTAGTCTATTAAGTGTGCAATAGCATTAGATCTAAAAAAAAATGTACATACATTCTTTAAAAATACTCTATTGCTAAAAAACTCTGTCATCTGAGCCTTCAGTGAGTTGCAATCTTTTTGCAAAAGCAACATCAAAGATCACTGATCATAGATCACCATAACAAAAAAATAATAATGATTAAGTTTGAAATATTTCAAGAATTACCAAAATGTGACAGAGACAAGAAATGAGCAAATGCTGTTGGAAATACGGCAGCTTGCTTGACGCAGGGTTGCCACAAACCTTCAATTTGTTAAAAAAATGCAGTATTTGTGAAGCGCAATAATGCAAAATGCAATAAAGTAAGGTCTGCCTGTTGTCTGTTTTAAAGGTTTTCATTATAGAAAAGATATCCCTAACAGATATTATGAACCTACCACAACTAATATCCTTAATTGTTTTGGAGACAGAAATCCAATTACTATGTTGGTCCTCCCATTAATTTATGGATAAAAGAGACCTGGAGATTTAAAGTACATTTAAAATATACGCTTATACCCCAGTTTCCCCAATTTTATAAGAATTTAATACACAATTTTTAATCTCAAGATTTTTCTTAACCTGGCTTATCTTTCACTAAGAGGAATGGTAGTTAGTTTACATTTTAATATTTCTGAAATGGTCAATTAGCAATTTGCGTGTGGGTCTCAATTATAAATGAATAAGTTAAGCACCTTCTTGCCATGGCTCTTCAGGGGTATTAGAAGCAATTCCGTTTGACTCTTCCACTGTGATGTCCGGTTTCCCCTTGGGAGACCCCTGTCACTTTGCCCCACGGATGCCCAAGTCCCCATACATGGCTGTCGGGGCCACAGTCATGCCTATATGCAGTCCTAACCCCAGTTCAAGGCTACTCAGAGCTACTCTTTACCAGTGTAGTCAGCCGGGCTGTGGGCTACACAGGGCTCTGGCTATGAATCTCACCACCATCCACGACAGTGATTCTAAGTGACTTGAAAGGTAACCTTTGGAACAGAGTCTATTTATCTGGAAGGGAAAAAAAGCATCTAAACATATTTATAGATTGAAATAGTCCATATTCAAAGTAGACACCATTGAAGTGTGGCTATAACTCGGGTTATTTTCCTCAGTGTTGACACATGAAACGTCTTTGAATTGGGCCTTAGTCACTATTTTTAGCACTTGAATTTGTAGTTCTGCCTGGAAGCTCTTGCTCAAAAAACGACTCACCACTGGTCCCTGAGTTGGCACGTTGGCCACCGCTGACTACATTACTTTAGCAAACATTGATGAGCACGTTCTGTGCGCTGGATGCTCAGGCAGACACAGAAACAAATACCACTAGGTGCAGTCTCCCCAAGAAACTTAGAGCTCCAGAGAGATGAGACTTCCACACAAATAATTCTAATGAAATTCAGATCATAATAAGAAAGATGAAAACAAAACGCTCTGAAAACACAGTGAGGGACTTCCCCGGTGGCACAGTGGTTAAGAATCCGCCTGCCAATGCAGGGGACACAGGTTCGAGCCCTGGTCCGGGAAGATCCCACATGCTGCGGAGCAACTAAGCCCGTGTGCCACAACTACTGAGCCTGCGCTCTACAGCCTGCGAGCCACAACTATGGAGCCCATGTGCCACAACTACTGAAGCCCGTGCACCTAGAGCCCGTGCTCTGCAACAAAGACAAGCCAACGCAATGAGAAGCCTGCGCACCGCAACGAAGAGTAACCCCCGCTCACCTCAACTAGAGAAAGCCTGCACGCGGCAACGAAATAAATAAATATCTAAATCAATAAATTTATTTAAAAAAAAAAACCACACACAGTGAAGGAAGAAATCACTGTAGCTGGGGAGTCAGGAAGGGTGTCAGGACATCTAGGCAAAGTCCTGAGCAGCATAAGTTTGGAAAGAGCAGAGATGAAGCGGCACACTCCAGGATGATGGGGTTGTGTAAACACAGGAGTGCCAAGGACACAGAGCCCCATCGGGCAACCGCCTGGACCCCAACTTGGGTATAGCTTTGTCTTAGGAAGTGAAGAGAGGCCTTTATAAGGAAAAGATTCATGCACTGATAGACTTCCAAGTTCAAATAGTTATCTCTAAGGATGTTTCTAGATGTATTTGTACATCACATCCTTGGAAGGAAGTCACACATTGAGAAGAGCATGGTACCTGCCATCCTTAATGACTTCACATGTCCTATTGTTGATTTCGTTGTCCATTTTATGGCGAGCCTTGAGAGGAGGGATGGGAAAGGTTATTTTAATAATCTCAAAATGTCAAGTATTAATGCCACTTGAAAATATGCTTGCAGCAGTGAGGAGGAAGCTGCACAAAAAATCCTTACCACATCGTCCACGAGGTCTTTGATGGCCGTGATGCCCAGCACCACAAGCAAGGGCACCAGGGTGGTGTACCACGCCAGGGTCGTGATTTGAGGGATTGCCTGAAAGAGATAAAAAAGAAGGCGCACGTGTGTGCCCAGGAAGGCACAGCTAACCTACAGGCGACTGCTAACTCTAAGCTTGTTGATTCTGAGGCTAATCTCCATTATCATCCAGGTCTGCATCCTGCCAAGCAGGCATGAAAAGGTGCCGAAGCATCCAGCTAACCTTTCTCGTGCCCCTCTCTCTCTCTCTGTGTCTCTCTCTCACTTCTGGTCTCCTGGGACACAGCCCAGAGGACAGTGGCTCCTGGTCTCATTATGGCTTTCACTGGACACCAAGGAAGCTTTGTAACATGATATCTAAGAGAGAAATGCTCCAAACCTTTTGTGAAAGTCGTAATTAACTACGGGCAGGCACTGTAGGGTCCCAGGGAGAAGTAGTCCTTTGACTTTTAGGGAGTGCATACAGCAGGCTCTACGCTGCTGGTTGTTCAGCAGTGGTCTCTGAGGGTCCCATGATGGAGGCAAAAATGGCAGTAGATGGTGGCTGGCTCTGGATTGGGTGGGGCATCTATGGGACCATTAGAAGAAAGTGCTTCCTTCATGGTCCTTGCTATCGGTCTAGCCAAGAAAGAGGGTGGCCTTGCAGGAAGCCTCGCATCCATCAAGATGGCCATCAAGTTGGAATAAAAGATTGGGAAGCAAGTAAAGACCTCTTGCAACCATCCTATTGATCGTCAGGCCATATCATGTAGTGGTTAAAATGACAAGCTTTGGAGTCAAACTCCTGGATCCAAGTCCTACCCAGCCTCGCCACGTAGGGTGATAGGACTTGAAGCAAGTTCCTCTACCTCACCAGCCTTCAGTTCTTCTCTGCAAATTGAAGGTTATGACAGTACTTAACGAGCACAAGAATTAAGTGAAGTAACAGTGCAAGGAAAGGGCTGTCTAGGGCTATTACTAGTTCCCTAATCTGGATCACTGTACCTTCAGAAAAGATAATTAGGGGATGGTTAGAAGAGAGAAAGCTCATTTCTCACATTATTGTCAATATGCGGAACTCCCCTTTTCCGTCTAGAAGGAAGTAAAGGGAAGGTAGCACTTTGCTCTCCAGATACGTGAATTCCTTGCCACGATTAAGATAAAAAACAACAAAAAAAAACCTCAGGAAAAAATTAGGCCTTTCCAGTAGTGTAAAACCAGTTCACAAAAATAATTTGAGAATTATGACCAAAATACTAATAAAAATCAATACTTGGCATCTAAATAAAAAAATAAAGGCCAACCATGAAAAAATGGATTTAATTTTAAGGTACGATTATTTTACAAAGTGAAGATTTTAACTTTACTCACTTCAGGGAAACCAGTTTTACCATTGACATCAGTAGGAAATTGAATTTTTTAAAATACAGAATTAAAATAACATTTCCATTTGCTCCCATTCCCTGTTCATTTAACACTGCTGAGCTCGTTGTCTATAAGGCACTTTCCCTTACGTGCAGAACGCAGATGTCCATATAGAAAACTTTCAAGATTAGTCACATTTTATATGCAACTTAAACAATAACAACCTGAATGTTATTAAGTCACCATAATTCAAAACAGATTTAAGATATCAAAGGGCATTACCTGTAAGATAAGAAGGACCAGGAAATAGAAATTGGCTGCTCTCTTAAACTGCTCAAACAAATTCATTGGTAGAAAGGTAAACGCATTATACTTGTATGTTTTAATTGCATTAGTCTGTTGGAAAAAATGAGAAAGTCATTCTAAACAATGCCACACACTTATCACAGCGTCACAATGTATATACACCTGCAAAAATCACTAAGCCCTGTGGCCTACAGGGACCAGGGACGTAAGTCGTCAGAAAGATACTGAGATTTCCTTTAAGCTTTTACTTCTAACTGGGCCTCAAAATGACCCCTTGGAGGCTTATGTCAGAGACAGTAACAAGATGCAGACATTTCACCTCAAAGGTCTCTGTGGCAAATCTGGCTGTGACCAAATGGATCCTGCTGTTGGGTCCCTTGACCCCTTAGAAGCGTCCTTGAAAATGGGGCAAAGATGGGAAGAAAATAGGAAACATCAACATGGGGGGGAAAGGAACGTTCTTTTACTTAAGAGGGATGGAGGCTGTGTGAGAAAAAGAGACGGGTGTGGCTGAGTTGTGTGCCCCAAAAGATATGCTCAAGTCCTCACCCCGATACCTGCGATGGTCATCTTATTTGGAAATATAGTGTTTGCAGATGTAATCAAGTTACAGTGAAGTCATGCTGGATTAAGGTGGCCCTAATCCAATGACCGCTGGCCTTAGTAGAGAAAAATTGGGCAAAGACACAGAAACACACAGGGAGGCCGTGTGAACACAGAGGCAGAGAGATTGGAGTGATGCATCTACAAGCCAAGGAACACCACGGAGTGTCAGCCAGAAGCCACAGGAGAAGTTTGGAACAGATTCTCCCTCAGATTCTCCAGAAGGAACCAACCTTGCTGACACCTTGATTTTAGACTCCTGGGCCCTTGAATCGTAAGAGAATAAATTTCTGTTGACTTAAACCACCCGAGTGGTAGTACTTCATTAGAGCAGTCCTAGGGATCTAACAGACAAACATTTCAGCCCAGACGTGGTGGGGGTTCTTTATATCTCAATGACAATAAGCATTTTTGAGGTGAAAATATCTTCAAAGTCTCTAAATCCATCACAGGCAGAGGAGGGGGAAATAAGTTACTAAGATTCCTTTCAAATTCTTATTACTGTCAAAAACAAGGCTTCTGTGATATTACTGTAGATTCTTTTATAAAATATTTTACAAGAGCTTTGTACACACAGAGGGGAAATTTCAATCTACACAATTTTGTTTTGTTTTAAGCAATAAATAAAATGATAAGCGATGTTTTAAGCGATAAATAAAAATGACATTCTAGGAATCTAAAATATGACACAAATGAACCTGTCTATGAAACAGACTCACAGACCTAGAGAACAGACTTGTGGTTGCCAAGGGGAATGGAGTGAGAGTTTGGGGTTAGCAGATTCAAACTATTATCTATAGGATGGATAAACAACAAGGTCCTACTGTGTAGCACAGGGAACTATAGTCAATATCCTGTGATAAACCACAATGGAAAAGAACTTTTAAAAGAATGTGTATATATACATACATATATATATATATATATAAATAACTGAATCACTTCGCTGTTCAGAAATTAACACAACATTGTAAATCAACTATACTTCAATTTCAAAAATGACATTCTAGAGAACTAATGATGATTATCAGTAGCCCCAGGCCAGGGGTTACCTGGAAGGCAGGTACCACATGAAGCCAGTAGGCATGATGGCTATTGGGGAAAAACTGGCTTTTACTAAAATTAATTTAGGAAGTTAAAATCAACTTACCGCATATTTGCTCTCCTTAATACAAAAGAACTTTGTGTTCATAAAATGAGGTTGTTCGTGGAAGCTTCGATCATTTGCTTTGACTTGCCATGTACAATCTTTAAAAAAGAAAGAGAAAAAAGTCCATCAAGTAGAAAATTCACAGGTTGCTATGGGTTGAATTATGTCCTTCCTAGATTCACACATTGAAGCCCTAACCCCTATCCTGTACCTCAGAATACAACCTTATTTGGAAATAGTCACTGCAGATACAATTAAGTTCAAGTGGGGTCATTAGAGTGGACCCTAATCCAATATGACTTTAGGACAAAAGAAAATTGGGACAGAGATACCCATAGAGGGAAGACAGTGTGAAGCCACAGGGAGAAGACAGCCACTTACAAGCCAAGGAGAAAGAGGCCTGGAACAGATCTTTCCCTCACAGCCCTCAAAAGGAATCAACACCACAACACTTTGATCACAGACTTCTAGCCTCCAGAACTGTGAGACAAAAAATATCTGTTCAAGCCGCCCAGTTTATGGTACTCTGTTAGGGCAGCCTGAGCAAACCAGTGACCATGTTGTCACTTGACCCACCGTCCATAGAACATTCAGTTCTAAAAGAGAAATCTTCATTTAAACATGGCCCGAACAAAAATCCCAGAGCTCTACAAAGTGACAGCTAAATTATTCAAACTCATTTACTTGGTCTGTAAAATGTATAACCCATTACATACTTAGTGACTGAATAAATCAAAGAAAAAGGGTATCGCCGACGAATTCGACACTTTTGAGTTGTGATCATAGATCGGGGTTGTGCACGGCTTTATCCTGATGGCCAGCATCGCTGCTGTCTTTCTAAGTTCATTCCATGCACTTAATGTCACATGTACCACTCAAATGCCAGTTCTAAATTCCAGGGAACTTTAGAAAGCCCTCGGCTTCTCTGTTGCTAAAGGGAACAACTCTCAGGCGATAGGTCCCCATAAAACCTCTGACAGGCTGGGAGGACCCTTCGAGGACATGCTTGCCGACCTTCTGAATGGACAGGAAAGGTAAAGTTCAGAAACAGTGAGATATAGTTTATCTCTAGCCTGATTCCTTTCCATCTCAATGGTGGAGTCCAGCTCCTAATGGAAATTTCAGCCAAAGGGACCTTCAGCCTAGAGATGAGTAGCCTGGCAGTCAGGCTACAGTTGCAGGGAAGAAATTTCCACCCACCTGTTCTGTCTTTGCCCATCCGCTCTTGACTTCTACTGTCGCATGATATATGGCTCTAAAGGGAACATTTGTTCAGTGCTTAGTAGGTGCCAGGCATCATGCCAAGTAGTTAGTTAATATGTCAGTTTTACAGCTGAGGAAACGGAGGCAGAGACAGGATTCAGGGGGAGAATCAGAATTCAAAGTCTGGCAGTCTGACCCCCAAGCCAACCTCTCCATCCACCTTGCTCTACTGACTGGACTTTCTTTTGTGATTTATGCTACAAACCACCATGAGAACTGCCTTGTCAGTGAGCAGACTTTGCTGGGGGGGCGGTCACTTATCAGTATAGGGTCAACCTTTCCACTGTTACCTAATATCAGGCTGTGCTTCTTCTCCTAACAGGAAGGCATAAGTTGTCACCGCTATGAAAGCTCAAGACAAGGATATTATAACTTAGGAAGAAAAGTTCAGGAAGCACCTTTTTGGCATAAGGTCCCCCACTGACTGTGTGTTTGAACATGCACGTGAGATGAGCTTCCCTTGTGTGACACACACGAGAGTGGGTGAACCAGGTGGGGTTTTTTTCCCCACATTACTCTTTTTAAAATTTTTTTATTTTTCTTTTGTATTTTGGCCACACTGTGTGGCACGTGGGATGGTTGCCGGACCAGGGGTCGAACCCAGGCCTCTGCAGTGAAAGCGCCAAATCCTAACCACTAGGCCACCAGGGCCTCCATGAACCAGGTCTTGATGAGCTCCTTCTTCTGCAAACTGACACAGAAGGGGGATCAACAACTCGTGAGACACTCTTTTTGGAGATGGGATTATATCAAAGAACACTTACAAGTAAAGGATTATAAGATTATCAATCTTATGACTACATTTATAAAAACTTAAATATGCTTTAGAAAAAAACATATTTCTTTTTTTCTTTTTTTTTTTGCGGTACGCAGGCCTCTCACTGTTGTGGCCTCTCCCGCTGCGGAGCACAGGCTCCGGACGCGCAGGCTCAGCGGCCATGGCCCATGGGCCCAGCCGTTCCGCGGCACGTGGGATCCTCCCGGACCGGAGCACGAACCTGCGTCCCCTGCATCGGCAGGCAGACTCTCAACCACTGCGCCACCAGGGAAGCCCCATATTTCATTTTTTAATGATTCATTTTCTAGACTTTTACTTCCAAGAAAGTACGTATAATACTGCAAAAGGAACAGTTGCAGACTACTGAAGAAAGCAAATAATTAACCTTATGACTTTTTAAAAACCACTATACCATTATTGAAAATTTCTCTTGCATCATTTGGACTGCCATTCATTGGGTAATCATAACTGTTATGTCATGACAAATGGAAATGTCCTAAGCATCTTTTTAGCTTACATGCGATATTATCAAAAGGGAAAATTTAAATGGAACTACACGACAGCTCCTGAGGGCTGTAGAATGTGTGCAATCAGAACATTTCTTTTCGACTGAAAAAGGAGATCGAAATGAAAGTAGGTTAAAAAAAGATATTTTATAGGGTAATCTTGAATCCATTCTATTTTATGGTAACTTGCAATTTTTTAAAGGTTTAATTTGGCTCCCAGATGACTTGTAACACATCCCTGGTCACGAGTGTTCTAGAATACCTCTGAGAACTGCCGTTCAAAACTTCAGGAAGAAAAAAAAAAAAAAAAAAAAAAAAAAACTTCAGGAAGGTTGAGAAGAAAAACAGACAAGATTCCTCGAGAAGGGAGAAAAGACCAATGAGAAGGGATAAAAATCAATCTCAGAAATACTCAAGAGGAAAGAATAAGCTGCCCTGTTAATGAGTTGGATTCTTCGTCCCCCTTGTGGCTCTTTAAATTTGCTTCATAATTAAGTCCTCCAGCCAGTGGTTCCTCTGTCTCAGCACAACCCCCTCATTCCCCAGCCCAGTTTGAACTGGATGCCTCAGATAGAGGGTAGTATCTGACCTCAAGCAGGGACAGTGAAGGGACTGCTAGAAATGGCCTTGGTCTCTTAATGTTACAGTTTGAATAACTTGTTGGGGAGCTTGGAGAAAGTAACTAGCGTCTTCGTCTACAATATACTGAGCTTAACCACAGAAGCATTTGTACTTAATTTCCGAAACCTGATTGCAGTCAAGTAATCAATAACCCTATTTCTAACAAGGTTCCTTGTTTGGCCTAATTCAGACAAATCAGCAGGCAAAGAAATTGGTTCCTTTTCCTGATACTTTCCTGAGTTTCACGCTAATTGCTTGAGGAATATTTCAATCAGAGACCCTAAAGTAAGTGAAACGTGCTCTGTGGTCAAATACATTTGCAAAACACAGCATCCTACATCCCTCCCTTGGATATTCAATAGACCCACTGGTGTATTAAAGGCTCTGAGAAGTCCTGTAGTAAAGAAACATTTAATTTTATTTAATGCAATCTTTTCAAAATTAATGTGGCCACAGGCACATTTTTAACCATCACAGAACACCTATTAATATGGTTTGAGAAATGCTGCGCTAAAGCACATGCCTTTAGGAAAGGTAGCAAAATGACGCTTGGAAATTTGTGGTTTTGATCAAACATTTACTAGGCACCCAATTAAAACAGAGAACCTTACCGGACACTTGGACCACAAGGCTAATTTATAGAAAAAGTAGGAACCTTGACCCATTTTCTAGAATGGAAATATTGACCAAGGAAAGAGAAGAAGTAATACACTGACCAGCAAAAAATTCACCTTCACCATATGACCCTTTGGTTAAAAGCTAGAGAGAAATAAGCTAACAAAGGTTGTGCCTGATAAAATCATCAATGCATGTTGCATTTACCATCAGCCAGCTGTGGCTCAAAAATCATCTGGTAAACATGTATTTAATGTATGCAAATATGGCTACATGATGTTGGGTGCTCCCAGGGTCACCAAGTCCTTTGATCATCACCATCCAGCAAAGAAAGTCAGCTTCGCCTGGCCTCTCATCCTCTCACAGCTGATTCTGAACTCTTGATTTATAGACAACTCTGCAACCAAAAAGTTGCATTGGTTGGTACAAGCTGCAGCAAACTAGCAGAGTGAAACAATCAAAAGTTTAGTGTCAGAAAAGAAAAAAACAAACAACCCAAGAGAGAAATGGGTAAAGGACAAATAGACCATTCATACACAGGGAAATTCAATGGCTCTTAAATACATGAAAAGATACTCAAGTTCATCAAAAAAGAAGTACAATTCTTCAGTTACGTGCCCATTTTTATCCTATAATGGCAAAGTAAACAGGCTCTTAGGTGGTCTCTGAGGAGAGCAATTTGGCCGTATCTGTCAAACTTTAACACAGACACACACGCTGAGTGAGTGTATATATACTCTTGGATAAAGAAACAACATATCTCAGGGCTATTCAATGCATCCCTGTTTATCAGAAAGATTAGAAACAAGCTAAATACCACCAAGAGCAGCTGGCTAAACACCACACAGTGACAGCCTCTGTGGTCTGCAAAAAAGAATGAGGTACCTTGATGTGTACTGATAGGGAGTATCTTCAAATTACACCAAGTGATAAAAGCAGGGAGTATCTACCATGCTTTAAGCGATGTGACATACAGGACGAATGCACAATAGGAACGCATGCATGCACACGCACTTGCACACATGTGATCACGTGTATGTGTATCCGTGGGTATATAAGGGCTCATGTTTGTAAGTGTTCTTTGCGCAAGGAGTGTGTGTTTATCTCCGGAAGGACAGACGAGGAATTGGTAACAGCAGCTTCTTTCTGGGAAAGGAAACTGCATGGCTGAGACACAGAAGAGGCAGGGAGGGAGACTTCGTTTTCATTCTGTACCCTTTTATCATCAGCTCTATGTGCATGTACTACCTCTGGAAAAAAATATGTTTGCAGTTCAATTCCTTCCTTTACAGGTTTACATATAAATCAAATACGT